AAATAAATAGAAAAAAATATAAAAAAAATGCTGAAAAAAATACAAAACAGGAAATTTACCTAAATGATGCAAGCTCCGATTGGCGTCATTTGGAAAATACTTTTATTTCTCATATATCTTTCGATATATTATGAAAATTATTATTCAAAGAGACTTGCAACGCGAATTTAAACCAAATAAACAAAATATTTGAGCTGATGGCTCTATATCACTTCGATTGTTGCAAAATTTTTACGACACTTAACGTGACCTGTCTTTAATGATCGGCAGCCATTTTCTTTTTGCTCAATTCAGTACTGACAACTTAAGATATTAAAATTTTGCACTTATTGGCAGCGCATGCGCAAATCTTTATTTCTCGAGAAAAATAACCAAAAATGTAAATTTTTTAAATTTCTAATAAAAACATAATAAATAACTTAAAAACAACAAATAACAAGAAATAATGTTGAATAAATGCTGAAAAATGGATATAAACGTGAATTTACCTGAAAGATGCAAGCACTGGTTTGGCATCATTAGAAAAATACTAATATTTCCCACATCTTTCGCAATATTATAAAAAATATTATTCACGGAGGTTTGCAACAACATTTTATACTGAATAAACAAAACATTTGAGCAGATTGCTCTATAAAACTTCGATTGTGCGTAGATTTTCACGACACTTGACGTGACCTGACAATAAGGATAGGCAGCCATTTTGCTATTACTCTAGGCAGTGCTACCAACTTGAGACTATAAAATTTTTCAATTGTCGACCGCGCATGCGCAAATTGATTCTTCTCAAGAATCGTAAAAAACAATTTTTTTTTAATTATTAATAAGTTTTTAATAAAGAACGTTATGAATTAACTAAATAAACAAGATAACAAGAAATAATGCCAAGCAAATACTGAAAAATGAATTTAATAGCAAATTTACCTAAAGGATGCAAGCTCCGATTGGCGTCATTAGAAAAGTTCTTTTTTTCGCACATCTGCTGCAATATTATAAAAAATATCATTCACAGATATTTGCAACACCGATTTAAACTAAATAGACAAAACATTTGAGCAGATGGCTCTATTGGCGATTCAAACAGCTAAACTAGCGCATCTGGTGGCCGAGTTTAAACTAATATATACACGACTCCCTGCATGGTGTTCAATGTAAATATCAACATTTTTAAAGTTTTTCAGTTTTATTTTCATTATATTAAATCAATTTTTTTTCTAAATTGTTAACCTTATTTAAATATTTATTAAATAAATTATAATAAATATGGATAAGAGCATCGTTACTCATGAACAAAAGAAAAGAAAAAACGGGATCGAAACAATTATTATGTTCCGCTCTAATTCTAATAATTAAATAATTCTAATATTAATAATATTATATTTCTAATAATCTAAAATTCTAATTTTATATTATTAATTTAATGTCTATAGAGATTAAATTAATAATATATAATTAGAAGTAATATAAAATTAGAATTTTTGTCAAACATATAAAAACATAACCAAAAAATGTTCTTTCTAGTTGATATGTAATCTTTAGATTTAAAATTTGTACTGCAAACTTTCATTTTGTCGGTTAATTTTTTTCCTGTTTTAAATGCAATAGCCTACTGTTTACGTCTTACAACATTTTTTGGAAGCTGATAAAGATTTTCTGTTTTTTTTTCAATTCAGAGCGAATAACATTTGTTTCGTTCCCGTTTTTTCTTTTCTTTCTGTCCGCGAGTAACGATGCTCTTTCAAAATTATTATAATATATTTAATAAATATTTAAACAAGTAGAACAATTAAAAAAAAACTTGATTTAATAGTAAAAATAAAACTGAAAAACTATAAAAACGTTGATATTTACATTGAACACCATGCAGGGAGTCGTGTATATATTAGTTTAAACTCGGCCACCGGAGGCGCTAGTTTAGCTGTTTGAATCGCCAATATAACTTCGATTGTGCGTAGATTTTCACGACAGTTGACGTGATCTGACAATCTGATCGGCAGCCATTTTGCTTTTACTCAACTCAATTCTACCAACTTGAGATTTAAAAATTTTGTTACCCGCGCTTGCGCAAATTGATTATTGTCAAGAAATAAAAATTATTTTTTCCTTCAAATAATTGTAAAAATTCATATAAATATAATTAATTGTCTAAATATTACACGATCATAAGTATTTTTATCAAGTAAATATTCTGAAAAAAAAGTGTAAAAGTAAATTTACCTGCAAAGTGCAAGCTCCGTTTGGCGTCTCTTGGAAAACACTTATTTTTCTCACATTTCGGGTAATTTGTTTAAAATTATTATTCACAGATATTTTTAACGCCGTTTTGAACTAAATACACCTAATATTTTATTTATAATAATATAAATACTGTATAAAACGTGTTTTTTCTTAACTTTGATTTGGGAAAAGCTCAACCTTCCTGTTCGAATCTCGAATTAAAATCTCGAAACTCTCGAATGAAACTCGAAACGAACAAAAAATGCGCGCGCTTTTTTAAAAATATAAAATCGATTTAAAATTTGTTGAATTATTAATTGAATAAATAAATTATTTCTTTTAAACAGATAAACCATTAATATTTATTTATTCAAAGAAATTTTATTTAATTCATAAAATTAAAAGAAATAAATGTAATTTATTTAATATAATATAGTTAATAATATTAATAATAATAATTATTATTATTATTATTATTATTATTATTATTATTATTATTATTATTATTATTATTATTATTATTATTATTATTATTATTCATATAATTATTAATATTAATATTATTATTATTATTATTATAGTAATAATATTAATAATAATAATAATAAAATAATAATGAAAATAGAACATTTTTTTCAATTTAATTCTTAAAAGTAAATATATTCTTTCGCAAAAAAATATTTGTTTCTCAAAAAGGATAAATTATTATTTAATGTTCAAAAAATATTTTACTTTGTTAAATAAATATTTACTTAATATTTATTTTGACTTGTATAATATTACTTTTATAAAAAGGGCAAAAAATCTATTATACGAGAGAATTCGAGAAGAAAGCAAATAAAGAAGGAATGATTATGATTCATACCACAAAAATATGTGAAATGAAAAAAAAATGTGAAAATGAAAAGAAAAACTCATTTTAAATCTCCTAAGTGTAAATTAAAAAAAAAAGCAGCCAAATACTTATAGAGAAAATTTATAAAATTGATCAATTTGCTTTGATGTTGAAAGAGAAAACTTATTGTTCGTTATTTGACTTTCTGCACTTTATTTAGAGATTTCATTCATTTTAGTTGAGGATGCTTGTATCTAGATGAAGTTTCTTGACGTTTCTCTGCTGGTCTAGTGGTAATGAGGACTTCTAGTTACGCAACACCCTCTAGAAGTCATGACCTTTATCAATAGCAAACGCTGACCCAAAAAACGTTCCCGCCAAATGCACTAAAATTGAAGACAAGCCAACTTTTTTTTCTTCTTTATTATTATTTTGTTTTAATCCCACTCATTACCATCTTTCACAATTTATTTCAAATGTAATTCATTCCTTCTTCTTTTGCTCTATAAAATTTAAATTCTATTAAATAAAAATAGAAGAAAAAATTAGCAATTAGGAAAAATATTTTAAATATTCATTTATTTTTTTGAAAATATTTCTCTTTTGAAAATATAATACCAAATATAATCTCAATGAGATGATATAAAGTTTTATTGTAAATTATATATTTCCAATCGAAATTCATTTCATTGTCGATTATTCATTTTGAACCTAAAAATTGAATTTCGATTATAGAAAAGGAAAAAATATTTCTTAAAGCTGAGAAAAAGATATTCTTCAATTTGTACAAATCAATAAGTAAATTTCAAAATTGATTATACACTTTTAAGAAGAAATATTTTTTCCCAATTTTTTTCAAAGTAAAAATATTTTTTCACAATTTATTTCAAAGTAAAAATATTTTCAAAAAATATTTTTCTCGCAAAGTAAAAATATTTCCTTCTTTCAAAAAATATTCTTCTACCAGTAAAAATATTTAACATTTTGAAATATTACCTTAAAATCAAGAAAATTTGAAAATATATTTTTTTTGCACAAATTAGGAGAAAAATATATTTTCTAAAAATTGATTTTATTGTAATTATAGCGAGTTTATATAGTTTACGTAAGTACGCAGTTCTCGTTCCTAACTTTGTTATCATTCTTATTGAATGAAGGTAATGGCAGTGTCGCTATTACCTTGAAATTACATTGCTATTGCACTTAATAATCATGCTAAAAGATGCAATCGATACTAAAAAGCATTGAAAGTAACGCGAAATATCCTCTTCGCCTTGAACATTCCATTTAAATAACGTTCTGCCAGAGTTTAAACAGTGGTAATCACGTTTACACGAAATTATCGCTTCTTATATTAATTACAAAAAACACGTGAAACATTTTCTCACTTTACATTTATTTTTAAATGAAATTTTTCAATTACTAAAAATCAATTTTTCTTTAAACAATTTAACATTATTTTCATTTAGAGAAAAAATAAAATTCTATTTTATACAAATTAATTTGGCAAAAATATTTTCAGTCAAAAAGTCAAAAAATTTCATTTAAAAACTTCTTTGAAAAATAAAACTTATTTGAAGAGAAAAATAAACAAAAATTGTTTAAAAATTACATAGTTTGTTTTTAAGCAAAGACGTTTTCATATTTCTCTTAAAAATAAATTTATTACAAAAGTGATAGAATAAAAAAACTCTTAATGAGTTTTTTTTGTAATCACAGTCTACAATAATTAAACATTAAAAATGAGAGTCAAGTACACTTTCTTTTTATTTTCTGCTTTAAGTGACAAGACAGAAAATAAAATATACAATGACGTAATTTTCCTAAAATTCCAAATGTTCTGAATGAAATTTCTTCTTCTAATAAAAAATTCTAGCGTAATGAAAAATAAAATTTAATTTATCAAGAAAGCAAAATATTCTTTCTTTGAACGAAATAATTATAATCATAATCTTAACTAATGGAAATTGAGAAATTTCATTCAGTTGAACATTTGGAATTTCACAAAAAAAAGACGAAGAAAAATAATTTTTCTCCAATTAAGTCTTAATATTTAAAATAGTAATTAAATTAATCTAAAGTATGTATACACAGATTTACAATCTCGTCGACAAAATTAATGTCCAACATTTGGCATACTAGGAGATCCTACAACATCAATAATATCTGATTTAACTTCCGGTTCTGTTTTCGGCAAAAGAGCCGTCGGGATTGTTAAGGTCTGCAAAAAAAAGAAACAATAAAAATGTGGAAAATTATTTTACAATAATTTCATTGTTGTGAAAATATTTTTTTTATAATAATTTTTAAAACGAATCCTAAAATCGAAAAAATTCATCAATTTAATTAAAATTTGTAAAAAATCAAATTAAATAATAAAATTAATTTACAATCCTTTCATTGTAATGAAAATATTTTTGTTTATTAAAATACAATTATTATATAATTTTTAAAATTAATCTTAAAATCAGTGATCCGCAAGTTCTAAACTTTAAAAATTTGAAGTATTTTTTATTACAAATATTATCACAAATTACTGATTGTAATAAAAGTTGAAAGTTAAATTTTACATTTAGAAACTTTATACTTTATTTTTCTTCATTGTTAAATCAAATTATTGCAATAAAAATTTAGTTTAAAGAAGAAATGAATAAATTTCATTTATTTGAAAGTTCAGAACTTTCGGATCATTAAAATCAAAGAAATTCAGAAATTTAATTACCTTTCCGGGTACGAGAGCTTCATACTGATGCCTCAAAGATTGCAATTCATAATCACAGGTTGTCAATGCTCCTCGTAATTCATAATGAAGTACAATATCACTGCGAAGTTCATTGAATTGTTGACAAATTTGTTCCGTTGGTGGTGGATTTAATTCTAAGATAAAAATATTTATAAAAATAATGCTAAAAATTCATCAAAATTATCAAAATTCATCAAATTCGATGTTTAGAAAAACTCACATAGATAATAATAAATAAAATTTATTCAAAATTGATAAATTTCTTATCATTTTTAAAAATTTCAAAAAATAATAAACTTGATTTAATGTTAGGATTATATGTAAAATAAATAAAAAATTTAATTATTATTAAATTGATAACTTCTATTAATTAACAATAAATATAAAAATGTTTTAAGCGTCAAACCTGGAAAATAATTCTTAGAAATGTCTCAAATTCTATATTTAAAAGTAAATGAGCCAATTAAAAATATATTTCTCACCAAGCTGTAATTCAGTTAACATTTGTTCAATGCCCTTCATTTTCTTTTGACCTAAACTGCTCGGTAATTTAATTCTCTGTGAACGAAGAGAAACTCCACTGTTCTTAAAATCAGGAAACTTGATTCCAGCTGATTCGACGGCCTGAAAATTAATGGTCTTTTGTAACAGACCAACAGGACTCGGAGGTTAATGATTCGTGTTCGTTATGAATGTTATTAAAAGAAAATGATTAATGGAAATTAAATGATTAAAATAAATTAATTAAATAAATAATTAGAATAAATAATTAAATGAATAATTAGAAAAAATAAAATGAAAAATTAGAATAAATAATTAAAATGAATAATTAGAATAAATAGTTCAAGTAAATTCTAATTAAATAATTATAATAAATAATTGAAATAAGTAATTAAAACTCGAGTTTTGTGTAAGTTTGCTGATTTGTAAATAAATGATGATGATAATAATTTACATACATGAGAAGAATCGGCTTTACTCGGTCGATTTCTCGATGAACTACTATTTTTCTTAGACGATTTTCGTTCACTTTTTCTTGGATCTGATTGATGATCAGCGGCGGTTATTAATTTTTGTAAATCCTGTGTTTTACGATCTCTTTCCTTCTTTCTTTGCTCAATTTTACGTAATTCCGCAAGAAGAGTTTGCTCCTCTTCAACTTGTTCCGGTGTGCGTTCAAATAATTTTTTCAATTGTTCCTTCCTGTGCTTTTCATGCTCCCCGTCAAAGGAGTAAATCTTCTCCGAGTGTGATTTCGATTTTGTTATCGAACCACAAACCTGATAGTATCTGTAAACAAATAAAAATAGAAAATTTACAGAAATCATTTTAAAATAATGAAAGAAATTTAAAAAAACAAAGTGCACTTACCGCTCTTTCAATTCTTCGACAGTTTTGACGGAAAATTTAGTTCGATCCCAACGATCATGAATGACAATAAATCTAAGATCAAATCTTCGACACAAATCAAATAAATGATCAGTTTCCGCGCGTGACCAATTATTTACGACTAAATGTTGCAAATATTCTGCATTCGTGTAAGACGGAACGGGAACTTTTTTGTTAAATTTCGCGAAAGGATATTCATTTCCCACATCGGCGACACGTCGCCAATGATGAAAAATAGCTCCATCAGTGCGTGCAGGATTTGTAAATGGTGTCCATTTCCAGGGTCTTACTTTTCTCATTCCCAATTGTGCTTTTACCTGTTTATAACCCTTGCTCGTATCTGTTGGATACAATGGTGGCACATCGTTGTTGTCTTTGCAAAGCAATGCAAAAACTTCCCTATGCATCCCCTCGGGTCGTTTTGGAACACGATAATCATATCTTTTTCTCACCTTTTTATTCTCGCCGAAAATTGTTTCTTTCGTTAATTCTGTCGTTGGAGTTTCAAGATCCAAAATATCACGTACATCTGCCATTTTACAGACGAACCTAACCTATAAATTGTCACAAGTATTCGAATGTTTCGGTCACCGAGTATATTAGATATTAACTGAGGCAAAAAAAAAAACTTTAACAAATTATCGAGAATTGGACGTTAATTTATGTATATTCACTTTTTAACACAACACTGATAAATGTTATTTAATCTTGAAAAGAATAATTATCAACAAACATTTTCTCGCAAATAAACTTGACAGACAACTGAAGCAAGTGCGCAAGCGTCACTTGCTTCGCTTCGCTGCCAACTTCACGCTATACTCTTGGCGCTATTATTTGAAATTGAAGAAATTAAAAAATGATTTTTTAAATTTTTTATTAATGTTCAAACGGTTCAAACCATTGTTTGAAAAATATTGATGTTCCATATAAAGTTCTAAAAATTTTGTAATCTATAAATAGACACAGACGAGTATAAATTAGATACTTGATTAAAAAAGGGGTAGATCCTTAAAGGAGCTTACACACTACGCCTATGGAATGAATGCACCTTTACTTTCGGTTATACTTCAGTTACTTCAGTTTACTAAACAAAACACTTCAATAAATTTACTAAAATTAATTAAAACAAACAACAAATTTAATTGTTTAATAAAAGTTCTATAATGTCTGTGATATTTACAAGCACTAGATTATGTTTCTAATCTGAAATATTTATACAAACAGTAAAATAGAAAGTGATAAATATGGTAAGTTTTAATTTTAATTATTTTCTAAATTTTGTAATAACAAAATAAGTAGAAACAAACAAATTTTTATTTTAAAAAGTTATAATATAATTTTAATAGTTTTATATTAAAAGTCTTTTTTTTTATTATAAAAAATCAATTTTTTTGCAGATAATTATATTCTATAAATAATTCTCCAAAACTTGTTTATCAAGGTTATAAAGTAATTTCCCATTTTTGTGGAATGATTCATCAATAAAATTAATTTACTATTTTTTTTTTATTAATGTTGTTGATGTCCTTTCACAGCACAATTTATTTCCAAAAAGAAGGAGGACAATTTTTAATTAAATAGAGAGGATAATTTATTATTTTTATTAAAGTAATAGAAAAGGAGTCCTAAAAATAATAAGTTAATATGGATAATTTTAATAATAATAGAATGCACGAAAATGGAAATGAAAGCACTTTGGGATTGACTTCGAAAATGATTTCCTTAGAACAAATTCAAATGAATCTTCCTGCTGTATGTTTGAATTTTATTAAATAGCCTAATTAATGGTAATTAATTTAAGAGTTTAACTAAGTAGGTTTTAATTGATTTCTTGCTTGTTTCAGCAGAATAATAACCCGAATGAAGAGAAAGACGAGAAGGTAGACTTTGTCCTGGCATACATTGATAACAATAATCATAATCATGCTCGCAAAAGAGAAGAATTTGAAAATAGTTTAATGGAACAGGGTTTAGAATTAGAATACGAACAGAATCGACACCTTGGATTTGTCAAAATAAATGCATCAAAGGTATAGAATTTATAATTGTTTTTATTTTGTAATAATTTTATTTTTATTAAATAAATTCTTTTATATTTCAAGAATTTTAATATAAATTCAATTAATTTAAACAATTTTGATGAAATTCTTTTTAAAAAATCATTATTTTCAAAATTTTTAATAAAATTACTTCAAAAGAATCAATTATTTTCAAAAATTCAGATAAAATTATTTGAAACAATTCAATTATTTTCAAAAATTCAGATAAAATTCTTTGAAACAATTCAATTATTTATATAAATAAGAAAATTCTTCGCAAGAATTAAATATTTTTATAAATAATAAAATCCTTCAAAGGAATTCAATTATTTTCATAAATAATGAAATGTTTCGGAGGAATTCAATTATTTTCAACACAAATTTAAAAAAAATTTCTCGAAAGAATACAATTATTTTTAATGATATTATTTAAATTCAATTATTTTCAAGAGTTTTAATAAAAATTATTTTCAAAATTTTTAATAAAATTCCTTCAAAAAAATCAATTATTTTCAAAAATTCTTTGAAACAATTCAATTATTTTCAAAAATTCAGATAAAATTTTTCTTAACAATTCAATTGTTCTTAAAAGTTTTTAATAAAATTCTTTATAAATTTCAATTACATATTTTCAAAATTTTCAGTAAAATTATTTTTAAAAAATTATTTAATAAAAATCTTGCCAAGAATTAAATTTTTCAGTACATTAATTTTAAAAGTTTAAACATTTAATAAAGAAAAATTATTTTTAAAAGTTAGGAAACAAAAAAGCAAACAACAACAAACAATTACCAAAATACAACCATTATTAATATAGATATTGCTTTATTGTATTTTTACATTTGTATTTTAAATATTTCGTTTATTTTTTCAGAATTTTTGCATTTTTACAACATTTTTTTGTATTTATATACTTTTAACTTTATATTTAATTTAAACTTAAAATTCAAAATTTATCACTCTAAAATATTTCTAATAAAAATTGTGTTTATAAAAAAAAACAGGAAGTACTGTGTAGATACTGTGAAATCATGAAATTAAGAATGCCAATTAAACATTCAATGACTGATGAATTATCAGAAACGGATACAAATGATTTTTTCGATGATGCCAAATCTTGGTTCTACAAGGTTTTTAGTTTCGCTCAACTTGATCCAAAGAAGTTTCCACCAAGAGAATATCAACTTTCAGCCGAATTTTCAAGAGACAAGGATTATTTGTAATATTTTTATTTTATTTTGGTTTAGAAATTTTTTTTTAAAGTTTCTATTTGGAGTTCAAAGTTTTTATTTAAAGTTTCTATTTGTCCTTCAAAGCTTTTATTTGAATTTTTATTTGATGCTTTCATTTTATTATTTTTCATTGATTTATAAATGAATTATTACTGTTTTCCATTAATTTATTAAAGTTTCGATATATTTCATAATTTCTTATAAATAATTTTCTTAATGAAATTAATTTTCAGATTTAATATAGACGATGAAAATTTCTTTCCAACGCACATTAGAATAATGATTGTGGCTTTTATTTTGGAACGTCAAATGGAAGGAATACAAAGACTTTTGTCGGAGAATGTCTATTCAGCTGCTTATCCTCTGCACGATGTGAGTCATTATTATATTTGAAAAAAAATAAAAAAAATAGACATAAAAGAAAGTTCAAAGAAAAATATTAAAGAAAAAAGAATTTCAGAAAATTGAAATTTAGGATGCTGAAAAAATTGAATTATCTTTTAGGGTAATTACAAACAGAAGGGAACAGTCAGAGCATTATTATACAAGGAATGGTCGGCAATTAGAAAATGGATCAACGTACAGCCTTTGGATACAATTCAAGAATATTTTGGAACAAATTTTGCCATGTATTTTGCATGGCTTGGTTTTTATACGTACATGCTGATACCAGCAAGTATAGCTGGCCTTCTCTGCTTTTTTTACGGTAAAAAAAGATAGTTTTCAGTAAATGAAAAGAATTTAATAATTGAATATTGAATAAAAAATACATTAATTTAATTACATTTTCACAACAGAGCAGAAGCAGAAAAAAAAATCGATTTAATTTATTAAATTTGCAAAAATATGAAAATTTACTTTATATTTTATTTATTTATTTCAAGTTAACGGATTTCTAATAATTAAAAATCTTTAAATCTACTTTATATTTTATTTATTTATTTCAAGTTAACGGATTTGTAATAATTAAAAATCTTTAAATCTTTTATTTTAATTGCAGGTGTAATTACTTTAAATTTCAATCAATTAACCAAAGAAGCGTGCGCTCCATGGGCGGAAAATGTAATAATGTGCCCTCAATGTGATAAAACCTGTGATTATTGGCGTTTAAGTGAAACTTGTCTTTTATCAAAAATCACATCCCTATTTGATAATTCAGCAACTTTGGCATTCGCAGTCTTTATGTGTTTCTGGTCAGTTTTGTATCTTGAACTTTGGAAACGACGTTCCGCGGAATTGAGTTATCGATGGGGTTTAGTTGATTGGGATCGAACAGCTGAACATCCGCGACCACAATATCTTAAAGCTCTATCGAAAACAACATTTTTTCAAGTTAAGGAAAAAGTGAGTCTTTATAATTTATTATTTAATAATTTATTATCTTACATTTTGATATTCTTATGCTGTTTTGGTTTACGATTTACGTTGGAAAATTGATTTTGATTTTGCATTCTTATTTTTCAGGTAAATATCATAACGGGAGAAGTGGAGCCTCACGTGAGTTTTTGGAAAGTACGAGTACCTGCAACGTTTATTAGTTTTTCTATTGTTGTTTTGTTAACAACTGTTGCTATTGCTGCAGTTTTTGCTGTTGTTTTGTATCGTATGTCTATGATAACGTCTACCTCTCTATTTGGAAGGGAATTCGATTCGACAAGTTATAAATTGTTCGCATTACCAGCGATCGCAGCTGCTATTAATTTGGTAAATTCTTTTTTTTACATTTTATTATTATTATTTTCCATTATTGTTGCCAATTTAAAAATCAATTTTTACCGTAATTTTCTACTTTACAGGTTTGTATTTTGATATTGAACTATTTCTACGACTGGCTGGCGGTTTATTTGACAGAAATGGAATTGCTGCGAACTCAGGCTGAATTCGACGATAGTCTTACACTAAAAGTTTATTTATTTCAATTCGTTAACTACTACGCTTCAATTTTTTACATAGTTTTCCTCAAGGGAAAATTTGTCGGTTATCCGAAAAAGTACAATCGCATTCTTGGATTCAGGTAAAAAAAAAATTTCAATCAGAAACTTAAAATTCTCTTTTAAATACCTACTAATATTAAAAGTATTTCTATTTAAATACACATTTTTCCAGTAAACTTTAAATAATTCAAAAGTTTTCTTGAATATTTTAAAATTCAATTTTTTACTCGAAAAATGTATTTGAAAATATTTACTAAAAAAATTTATTAGAATATATTTACTATATAAGTTTATTAAAAAATATTTTCTAAAAATATTTTTAATTAGAATTATTGAGAAACGAAAAATTTCCAAATTGTTTTTAATTAATTAATATATTTTCATGCAGACAGGAGGAATGTTCACCTGGAGGATGTTTATTGGAACTCTGTATTCAACTTACAATTATAATGGTCGGAAAGCAGGCGTTAAGCAGTGCAATGGAAATGATTTTTCCAGTTCTATATAAATGGTGGGCATTATTTCGAATTCACACTGGATTAATGCAAAAGGATCCAATTACTCCACGTCGACAGTGGATTCGTGACTTAAAACTTCTCGATTGGAGTAATTATTGCAAAATTACATTATAAATTAATTTTTACATTATAGATTTACTGTACAATTATTTTATTAGAATAGAATAATTGTAATTAAAAATTTGCAAATTTTATACCACAGGTCCTCGAGGATTGTACGATGAATATTTGGAGATAGTCATACAATTTGGATTTGTAACATTATTTGTCGTGGCATTTCCTCTGGCGCCATTTTTTGCATTAGCAAATAACGTTCTTGAAATGCGTCTCGATGCGACGAAATTTCTTCGACATTATCGCCGACCAGTTCCTCGACGTGTCACTGACATTGGAATTTGGGCACGAATTCTTCATGGACTTGCAAGAATTTCCGTTATTACGAATGTTAGTATTTTAAAAGAAATATTTTTCTAAATTCTTTATTTCTCGTACAAATTGAGAAGAATAGACTTTTTTATTAGATCTATTTTTTGCAGGCATTTATCATTGCTTTTTCATCGAACTGGATTCCACGTCTTGTTTACATGGCAGTTGTGAGTACAAATAAAACTGACATTGGATTTTTAAATCACAGCCTCGCCTATTTTGATACTGTCGACTTTAAAGAAGGAACTGCTCCAACGACATCGATTTTTTCAAATGTCTCTTCCTGTCGTTATCCGGAGTACAGAAATCCTCCGGATCATCCTGATTTACCTTATAAACGACCAACTATTTATTGGCACATTTTAGCTGTCAGATTGGCTTTTATTGTCGTCTTCCAGGTAATTCAATTATATTTAATTCTTTAATTTCTTTTTTAATTAAAACAAAATTTTATTTCATTTAATAGCTTCTATTTGTTATTTTCATTTAAGATTCATTACAGAAATCTTTAATTTCTTTAATTTAGTTAATTTATTTAATATTTAAATTTAAATGATAAATTTGTCTGAATGGTAATTCAATTAATTTATTTAATATTTAATTAATAAATTCATCAGAATGTCGTGGGATTATTGACTATGACTGTTCAATGGTGTCTTTCGGAAAAGCCGAGAAAATTACGAGAGAGTATAAAGCGAGAAGCATTTTTGACTGAAGAGTTAATAATAAAGAGAGAAGCGGAAAGATCACGAGAAAGATTTAAATATTCTTCGAGTATTAACAGTAATTCCGGGGATCATCATCGGAAGAGAAAATTATCAAATACACCGACTAGCAGTCGAGTATAAGATTTTAAATATTTCCTACATTTTTTATAATATTTACAAAAAAAAAATATACATGTGCCTTCTTTTTTTTCGTTAGAAGAAAAAGATCTGACTAATTTTAATACAACTTACTCTTACAAAGAAAAGGATTTATACACAAAACCACTGTGTTCTTGGGAAAATTTCGCTTTATATTGCGAATAATTAACAAATTGGCTATAATAAGAAAACTGGAAAAAAGACAATAGAGAAAAATAGTTTTTTGCTTGATGGTTGAATAATTTTTCTCTTCTATAAACGATATTTTAATTACATAAATTTTAATGTGTGATATTTTTCTTAAAAAAAGGAAGAAGTTAAAATAAAATATTAAAATTAATTACAATGTTATTATAATACTGAAAAGTACCATCGAAAAATTATCGCTTTATTTGAGATTAATCAAAAATTATTGAAAAAGCTTTTAACGACAAAAATTACGTGCAATAATAATTTTATATATTTATTAATTTTTACATACGATCATAAATTTTATTTTTTTTTGAAATGTGATTTTAAAAATTTTTTTTATTTAATTTTATTTATTTACAAACTTAAAAATTAAAATCGTGTGGATTTAATGTTACGTCTTCTAAATGAGTGCGTATTTTATGAATAATTTTTGTATGTTTGTCATAGAAACAAATTATTTTCTATATAAATGTCTGGTAATGAATGTGAAAAAATTTTATCACCTATTGTTAAGATTTCGAAATAAAAAAAAAATTGTATTTATATATTCGCAAAAAATCTTCGAAAATCGAATTTTAAGATATTTAATATTTAAATGTTGTGCTTTTAAATATTTTATGAAAAATAAATAATGATTAAAAAATCTATTGTCTATTATTTATAAATGAAATATTATTTAATATTTAATATTAAATTTTATTTCATTTTATTAAATATTTAATGTTTCTAAATTAAATTTCTTTTTTTTTTACTAAATTTACCAATGAATAACTTCAATGACATAAATGACGATTATATAATTTATTTACAATAAGGTTTTAAAAAAATATTTACACAATAAAAGTTAAAAAACATGTAATTTCACAAATTTGTAATAATTATAACTTTTTTCAATATCATATATAATATATCATTTTAACGAACTTAAAAAATTAACACTCTTCGGCATTTGATCGTAGATATGATTCATTATTCAAATTACTAAAAATAACATTTTTTTTTTCATCGATGATTATAAAATATATATTTATTTAAAATACGTTTATTTGCACATCTAAGTGATTCATTTTTTTTAATCATAATCATTTAATTTCCTATAAATTAACTGAATAATTAAAGTCGATTATATTTCTTCATCTTAAAAAAAAACAATGAACTATAAAAATTCCAATAAAAAATAAATCATTAAAATACATCAATTTCAAGCATGCATAATATATATAATATAAAAAAATAATTTTTCTCAAATTCGTAAAATAGGTTTCAATTTAATAAAAAATAATTAATAAATGATCATTGACGATTAAATGTTATATATAAAACGAAAGTATTACCTCTCAAACAATCCATAATAATTTCGTATAAAAACTATAATGGAAAAATATTCCTCAATCTTTCTTTCGTATATAAAATTTGTAAGGCTTATATTATCATTCTTTTTCTTTTTTGAAAAAGAACATTCTCTTTTTTTTTATCTGCAATTCTTTTCAAATATATGCAGTTATATTATTAATTCGATGTACTCATTAATGAGGTTGAGAGAACTTCATTTTACGAAGGACTCGATATTAAATTGTCTTTATACAATCTAGAAAAAATAACGAAGAAAAAACCTTACAAAATACGAAAATAGGATTTTTGGAAAAATATTTTTTTTTAATGTATAACTCGATTAAATTAGGATTAAAAATTATTTCTGTATGAAGAATATCTACGTAGAAGAGTTACGTCGATAGAGTCTCACTTTCAAACATCCAGGATTCATTTCGGTAAAACTGAAAGAATTGAAGAAAATTATTTTAATTACTGTTTGATAAAATATTTATAAATTAAATAATAAATAAAATAATTTATTAAATTATGAATAAAATTATGAATTAATAAAAATTATAAAATTATTTATTAATTGATAAATATTTATTCAATAAATTAAAGAATATTTATGAAATATTACCCAATATTTCTGCTAGTAAGTCTTTTCGATACCGCAGGTTTTATTTTGCTTTTATTATTACTGCTCCGAGCACCACGACCAGTAACAATTAATATTTCCACTGATCTTTTATTTCGACTATTTAAAAGTTCCAATTGATGATCCAAAAATATATCAAGTGCCTGCAATGCTTCTGGGACAAATAAATTATGTAAATCCAGAGTGTTTTCCTCGCCTAAAATGTGAGTTTGAGCCGCTAGGAATGCACTAGCCGCCGCTGAATTGGCACTTTCCATTTTCTTCGAATGTAATTTAGCCTGTAATGAAAATTTCATAAATTATTTCCCTCGTTTTTCATTTTCTCGGCTATTTTTTGACAATTAAAAATAAACTAAAAATTAGAGTTACCATTTCAGAATAATATGAAGCAACAGCAGGATTTCCATTTCTATGGGCTGTAGCTGCTTTATTAAAATTTTCATTACGCAATGAAAATTCTCTTTCTGCTTCTCTTCTCGATGAATAAGCAGAACCCAATACCTGCTCATATGTCAATTCGTTAGACTCTGAATTTGTAGTTTTTGAACTCGTTGCTTTTGTCGATTTTGAATCCTGAAAATTTGTAAAATTTTTGTTCAAAAATGATATTTTTTTGTTATTTTTTATTTTTAATTAAATAAAAAATGAAGAAAACAATTTTTATAAAAATTTGTAATTGATTTAATTTCAAAAATTTATTAACTGATTTTTCAATAAATAAATGATTTTTTAAATAATTTTTACCTCTTTCGACAAACTTTGCTGTTTTAGTTTTGCAATTATACTGTTTTGTTTATCTAAAGCATCTGTTGAGCTTAAAGATTGTCCTGTGCTCGCCTCTAAAACTTCGACAGTCTCGTTGAAATTTCCATTATGTGCCTTTAAAATTTCGCTCAATGTTTCGGGATCAAAATTTGGGAACATTTCATTTAACATTTGTCTCGTTAAACGAGACGCCAAATCGTTTGAAGTTTCTCTCGCTTGCTGCTTTTTCTGTGAAATATTTATTATTATTATTATTTTCAAGATATTCTTGTTTTGAAATTACGTCTACGATCATTTTTTTTTTATTCTATGAAAGAGTATTTAAATTTTTTAAAATTAATTTAATTTTAAGAAGATAATACAAAATTTAGAGATTCAATTTCGATAGACATGCAAAAATTAGACAATTAACTTCATAAGAAAAAAAATAATTAGAAATAATTGAATTTAATTAGAATAAAAATATTTAGAAATTAAACTTCATTGAAAACACAAAAATTAGAAAATAAACTGGAATATAAAATGTATTTTAGAAAAAACTTTTTCATAATCTAATATTTTCAAATCACTCTGTAAAATTATCTCAAAATGTTTTCAAAATATTATTATTGTATTTAATTTAAATTTAACTTAATAAATGAAATAAAAATTAAAACAAAAATGAAGTTAAGTTAAATAAAAATTAAGTATTTTAATTATTGTTATTAATATTACCAGGTCATTTTTATAAACTCCTAGAGCTAATTCCATATCCATGACTTCATTCAAACTTGGAGCTTTCGATTCATTAAAAGCTTTAGCTTCTGCTTCTTCCAACGATTTTGCATATTCGGCGTCTTTGAAAAAGAAATGAATAATGATTAATAACAAATTTAATTAATTATTTCGTTATTATTTAATTATTAATTCATTTTCTATACTATTAATTAATTAATTGGAGGGCAATTAAAATTGAAATTCATTGAATCATAATTTAATGAATCAAGTTTTAAAAAATAAAATTCTTACCTTTTGCAATCATTGCATCCAATTGCTCCTGCTGATCATCCATTTGCTGCTGCATCGATTCAATCCAAAGAGCATAAATTTCTTGTGCCAATGATTTCTTCAATTGAATCACTGGGAATAGACCGTCAGGCATATGAAAATCATTATTACCAAATTGTGATTCAAGATTTTTAATAAATTCCCAACCCAAATCGAATGCCATTGTTTCATCAGATTCCGACGATTCATCACTGTCACTCTCATCTTTCTCCTTTACATTATTCTCATCGGAATTTGTCGGCGACACTGAATTCGAATCACTGGCAAACTGAAGAAAATCTTTATTTTTCGCTTGCTCCTTAATAATCTCCTCAGTGGAAACATCTGGTTCGCCATTCCTCCATTTTCTCACGCGCAACGTATGTGGATGATAAGACGCCTCACTCATCGTCACCTTCTCCTCGAGATGCTTCTGCAATGCCAAAATATCTTCAGTGACGAGAGATTTTTCCTTTCTACGATTTTGACAACCATTTTCGTTCGAATCAATGTTCAGTGACTTAGAATTCTCCGATTTTCGAACTGTCGGCGACGATGGTGATTCCGAAACCTTTGACTTTATTATTCCATCCCATGGCACACCGTCGAGAAGTAAATCAATCGCCCAATGTGAGTCGCCTTTACACAAATTTTTAAAAACATCGACTATGTAATCTCGGGAAATATCCGGAAACATGTCAATTAAACCCTGAATTTCAGCTTCTTCGGCATTCTCCTTGGGGAAATGTAACAAAATATCAACTTCGTCTGTCATGGAACTTTTGTCGAGTTTCAATTTTCTCGGCGGTGGTGTCTCGAAATTTGGAACTTGTCCCTCGTTGATACTTCGATTGAAGACATCCATTCTTTTATAACCGGGTTCATTTGTCCCGCCGACGAATAGTACATTAAAATCATAGATATCCGTATTTGTCCCCGCCTCAACAGTGTCAATTATTTTTAATTCTTCCACATTTTTCGGTGGTTCGGAGCAATAGATCGGAAATGGCGATTCTTTCCATGAAATTGCGTTAATATTGTCGTATTCTTCAGACTTCTTTTTTATTGGAAGTTCATTTTCTAGTGGAAGAAGAAGTGTTTCGGGAATATTTCCATCTTTATACGGTATTTCCTTCTCTTCGAGAATTAATTTCTCATTTTCCTCGTTAAAATTTATTGCATCGAATTTAGAGCCAAGTGTTTCTAAATTTTCTCTCGGTTCAGATAAAATGGAAACTAATTTCTCGAAATTTGATAATACTTTTTCCTCGTTCCCAGTGGAAATGTCGACGAAACTTTCGGAAGAATCTTGAAATTCTATTTCATTATCGATACATTTGAAATTGCCCTGAGATTCGTAGACTAAATGGGAATTATTTGGAGAGTCTGGGGAAAATTCGGTGAGTTTTTTACTTAAACTGTCATTTAAGTTTATTTTTACTTTGTTTGAATTTGTTTCGGTGTCTTCGGAAGTTTTCGAATAGTCATGATCACTAAGTGGCATACTAAAGTGTTCGTATTGGAGATTTTTTGTTTTACAGTAATCGTGATCCTTGACGGGCGAATGTAATTTTTCACTTAGTGAGTCGATGACAATTTCTGAATCATCGGGAAGATTCTTATTTGAGTTGCCTAAAAATGATTTTTTGATGAACTTGATAATTGAACCGAAACTTACTTTTTCTTCGGAATCGTCATTAGTTTGCTCAGTTTCGAAATTTTTTGTAGCTTCTTCGTTTTCTGTTGTTTCCTTTGTGTCGGTTAGATCACGAATTTCGAATGACGAATCTTCACTGTTGGAATCGATGTGTTCGAAAGATTCGGTGGTGGAGGATTTTGTGCCACTGTCGGGTGAATCTTTATCGTTGGCAGCCTCTTTTAATTCTTCGGTCGGACTTTTTTCCGATTGAATTGATGATGGTGATGTTGTGGAATTTTCGGGACTGTCGTCAATTTCTTCGTTGGGGGATTTATTTTCGTTCTCGGGAGCGACACTGTGAATTTGTCGTCCGTCGAGGAGGAGAGTGAAATCCCAGCATTGTGAGAGAACATTTTTATTGTCGAGTTCGGAAGAATTTGGTGGGGAATTTTTGATGAAACTGTTCTTACGCTCGGAACCAATGGCACCGAGGTTTGAATGCACTTCGTTTACTTCGTGAACGTTCATTACGTTTTCGGCAACTTTCAATACAAATGGACGATAACTGGACGATTCTAAGTTGAGGGTTTCTCTTAAATTGTTTGATTCTTGATTGTTGATTTCCATTTTTTGTTGCTCATCTTCCCAGCTTGTGCCATTTTCGTCCCATTTGTCCTGGATTAAATCTTGTGCGTTTGCCTTTGGCGATAGATCGTCGTCCTCACCGCCGAAGGTTTTGAGAGCGAGTTGCAGAGCTGTTAAATTTTCGTTCTCTGGAATTTTAACGGAATCGACGACCGTCGCTGTTGATACACTAACGGGAACATGAGGTTCCAATTTTTTCTCAGCGTCGACAATTTTATTCTTGCGTTGAATATTCTTGATCTTAACATTCTCCGTAGTTTCCTTCTTCTTCTTGGCTAAACTATCATTACTACATGGCTGTGGTGGAGTATTACTGGAATCGTATTTCAAGACAAATGTTTTTAACAATTTACCCGCAGTGATGTTTTTCTCGTAGCGTTCCAATATTTTTTGAATTGTAAACTTTGGCACATTGTGTATATTTCTTTTTGTTAATTCATTCACATTATTTGCCCAGCGTGTATTCGGTTCGAGAACTTCAAGAAAATAACCATATTTCACAGCAAAAATCACATACGGTTTCATTTCCCAACATTGAGTATTGGTATTATCAACAATTATTGGACTAATTCCATTTGTCACTGCTTTTAAAACACGTTTCTGATTAAATGTATGAGCATCGTCCAATTTTCTTAGATCAAAATCATAAATTCGTCCCTTTTTCATGAAATAATCATCAGTGCTGAAAATAAATTGAGCAGGATTATCTTCGTCGGCCAATTGAGCAATACTTCTTGCGAGATAAGTTTTTCCACTACCCGGAAGTCCGCGCACTATCACCATTATTTTAAAACCTCGTTGAATTGTTGATTTAATTCGACTTTGTGTGGCATTGAAACCGGCCTTGAATTTTTCAGGCGATGATGAGGGCGAAGCGGTGCTAATCATTTCGACCTGGGGGAATGTTGTTTTCGGTGAACTTTCAGTTGATTGTGACAAAAATTGACAAACGTTTGTCAATGTACTCTCGGGATTTGTTATTGTTTCATTGCTACTTTCCTTTTCAATTACCACATCGGCGTCGTCATCGGAACTAGCCTCGGGACCTCCAAAACGATATTGAACCTTTAAACCGCAAAGTGATTCAGTTTCTGTTTTGCGTCGTTCATCTGCTTTTAAATTGTCTCCTTGATTTAAAAATTGACGTGAACTACCAGGTCTATCACTGCCAGTTGTTGATGATGCTTCTTCTTTATTCATAGAAGAGGCGAAATTATCAAAGAAATTGTCAAAAAATGAATCAGCATCTTGGAAGTCTGAAAGTGGAGTATTTTCAGTACAATCCTGACCGTGTTTTCGCATTAATTCAAACCTTTTGAATTCATCTTTTTGCTTTTGTAATTCCTCGTCGTCAATATTTAAATACGTGAAATCAGTGTCGACTTCAAAAGCATCCTCCTCCGGACTTGAATTTCTGTTTGAATTACTGCTTGCCACCGCACCTTCCTCTTCTTTTTCAATATCTTCGTCAAAATTGGTAAAATTACTGCCACTCTCTTTGGAAGTGTTGATATTCGCCGATAAGCTAATCAAATATTCAATGGACGGTTGTACTGCAAAATAAAATATCAGATAATCAATTGCATTGTTTTATCGTCAGCAAATATATTACTAATTTTATCATATTAAAAATTTCAATTTAAAAAATTGATTTCCCGATCAAAACACCTTTTCTATTTAATTATTTCTAAACACTTTTAGAACTATTACTTTTTTTCTCATAGAAATTTTTTTTAATACTCTACACGGCTTACGTGTTAAAACTAAAAACGTACACGTTATTACATAAATAATGCGCAATAAATATTTTTCTTTTGCATATATAGTTAAAAATAAGACTTACATTTCCAGTTACAGTTTTGAACAACTGATAAAATAACGTCTGGTTCTAAAATAGAATCAAACATTTCACGAACTTGATTGAGTACTCGCTCTTGATATTCGGCAGCATTTTTTCTACTTTTATTTGATCGTTTAGTTGATTTTTCAGCGGGTAAATCACGTTTTGCAGACATTGTCGATGAATATTAAAAAATATCAATTCTTCTGAAAGATAAGATAAACATAAAATGAAAATTAATCTAGATAATAATATTTAGACAGGTGAAATCGTTTTTTTTTCTTTTTCAATTTAAAATTATTCATTCTTATTGAAATTCTTAAAATTGAATTTACTTTCTTTTAAAATAAAATCGTTTTTCAAAATAATAACGAATTATTCACAGTTAAGTTTAAATTTTTGTTATAAACTTTTTTTCCACTAAAAATTAATTTAAACTGGAGATCGAAAGTTAGAATTGTAAATTGATTTTCCTCTATAATAAGAATATGTCATACTTCTAAATTATTGATAATGGTAAATTGTTTTATAAAAGACTGATGACTCCAACACGAAATAGAAAAATTCCTTTTGTTTTGTCCGGGCCACGTCATTCAACCGAATAATTCGCGCATGAATAAAGAAAGAAAAAAAAAGTGGAAACAAGTTTCACGTTTGACCGGCAAAAGAAAGGAATACAGTCTCTAAAAAAATATTTCAAATGGAGATTTTTTTTCTAGAAAGGAAAATATAAGAAAAAAATGACAAAAACTCAAAACGTAATAGAACTTTAGCCTTGAAAACTTGAATTTTAATTCAGAAAAATAATTTAAAACATAAAAAAGTATACTCACCCTGAGCAATTAACTTGACCTTTTTATTGACTGCTAGGATTATTGATAATGAATTCATAGAAAGGAGATAAGCATGAAGTATTTAAACAATTCTTGATTCCAGAAGAGATGCAGAATAGATCAAATCGATCAAATTTTCACTTTTAAAACAAATATACAGTTTCTTTATTTTCAAAAGATTGAGTCTTGAGAGTCAAAAATTTAAATTGTTATTACATTCGATACTGAGCCATCCTAGTGTAGAGGATTCATTTATATTTTATGAAAATAACAATAATTAAATTGTAATGCTCATCTTTTTACTCACAAAGCAAAGTAGCTTCCATGTATGATTCATTTTTTATCTCACGCACATCACGCTACCAAACACATTTTCTTTTTCCATTAGAGAATGATTTCAAAATACTGACCATACCGGGGACATTTAATTTTACTTAATAATTCATAATTGTTTATTATGTTTATTGTTAGTGTTTATATAGTTATGGATGTTTGACAAGACACTTTTAACAACGTAGTTATTATTTTGATTTTACAATTAGAAGAAATAAAAAAAAATGTTAAGATCGTTTATTGGAAATATTATTCTTTAGTAAAAATTCTGGATAATGTGAAAAGAATTGAAAAAAACTACAACATTTCTGTATAATAATTATAAAATTTTCAAGTTCACACATTTTTAGGTTAGTTTAATTGAACGAACACTGACACGAATCGTTTATGAATGTGTGAGTAGCGATTGCAGCGCTGCGTGGCGATTTTAAAAGCTAAAAAAGTTTACATATACATATTTTCTAACCGCACCTTAATAGTATTTTAAAATAGATTTATTAATATTATTTTAGTCTCCTCTCTCAATCTAATTATCAATTTTAATTAATAATTTTTTATTTAATCTTAATTGAATTTGTTTAGATAATACCTAGATATAAAGATGTAATTTAAATTTTTATTTTTTTATGTTGGCTAAACTGTAAAGGTTAAAATAATGTTGGGTTGGTATCACTTCTCATCACGAGTATTCCGCGCAATTCTGCGAATTAAGTTTTAACGGTTTTAAATAACTTGAGCAAAATTCGTCTACACCTTTTAGTATTTAATTAAGTTTTAGTGTTTAATTAACAAATAGTGTTAATAATTTTGTATTTTTCTTGAAGCGTTTATTGATTTTGTCAATTGGTACAAAGAATCAAAGTGAAATTCAGTGCTTTTTTCAAGTTTTTCCCTTCATAGAATTCAACACTTTTTGGACGATCTCAAAAGGAAAAAAGGAAAACGAAAATCATTTTGGATTTACGGAAATTGGTAATTTACTTCTAGTACTTCTAATCATCAATTGGTAAGTCCATATAATTTTGTAATTGTTCTTTTTGTTTTGATATTTGCATCGAAAATTTGATACAAAAAGGGTAAAAATACAAGAAAACTACATACATTAATGTATATAATCACAATCTTTTGATTTATTGTAATTACACTGTTAAAAGTCAATATACAAAAGAGTTGTATAATTATGAGTAAAATAAGATCTGCTTTCTTTTAATATAATAATCAAATTCCGACAATTCAATTTAAATCTGATTTTTCGATTGTTAAGTCGGTAACTTTGTTGTGTCAGTAATTAAACTGTACAAATTTAATTGATCGATAAAGAGCTAAATTATTATTTTGCTGTACAAACTGGAGGCACTAACTACATTTTTATAGACTCTTTAAAAACTTATTTCGAAAATTTTTCGTGTACGTACATTTTGCGTTAATAAAAAAAAAGACGCGTATAACATATTATAGACGATTGTGCGTAAATGATAAAATGTACATGTTATCTCGTTATAAAAATATAAATCGACGATAGTATGAAAAACTAAAATTAAATTTGAACACACTACAATAATAAGTTTTTTTTGTTTTGGACGGCCTTCTAGACATTATAATAGTTGAAGGAGCTATTAGAATATGAAGATCATTAATTGACAATAATTTGTACTATTTAAAAAACTTTCAAGATCGTGGATCTTTCTTAAAAAACTACTTTGTTTCCTTAAATTTAATGGCGAGTTTATGTAAACAATTTTTGTAAAGAAGCTCTTTTTAACGAAGTACTATAGTAAGCTCCTTTTTTTCAATAGCTCCTTTAACGTAATTTAAATTTATTATTATTAATTCAGTTTGGACGGACATTTTTATTTCAAAATATTCTTTTGGTACCTTAAAAGTATATCTTAAGTTACATTTGATCATTAATCAAATAACTTGTTAAGTTTTTAAAATAAAAACTTGTCGCAATACTAAATAGAAAAACTAACATAGTTGAGTTATTTTAACTCAATTATATAAAATACAAATAATTATAAAAAACCATTAGCTTTGGTTTGTTTATGTGCAATTATTAAAATTTAACAAACAGTATTCCAAAAAGAAATTGAGTCCTTATAAATAACTCTTGACTCCTTTACATAAATTTATAAATGACGTGGATTTGTATAAAAAACGATCGTAAACTATTTTTTTTAAGCGCAATAATGAGAAGATCTTAGAATATTACAATTTATCTCGACGTAATTAGTGACTTATTGTCTTGGACGGTATCAGATAAAATGACTTTCTCTGTTTAAGTCTATTATCAAAAATCTAAAAATTCAATTCTCCCTTTTAGGAGCTATGAATGTTATAATTGTTATATTCACAAAAAACATGAATATATAAAATATATTTAAAAAAAATTAAAAATCCAAATATTAAGGCACAGTTTGACCATTTTTACGGACAAGGCTTTTTCCTCGGTAGAATAATATTTATAATTTAACAACAAAATAATCAAATTATTTCTTTTTCGTAATTTCTTTTTACTAAGGCATGAATGGTTGGAAGATAAAATCAAATTATATTTCCATTATTAATTAATTGCATTATGGAAAAATATATAATACATATTTTACTATGTATATTTTCTCTTTCCTTCTTTTATAATCTCTTGTGATTATAATAATCATTACAATAATCGTATATATTTAATAAAATTAAAAATTTTAATATTATTCAAGTCTTCATTATTCAATTTAACATAATATAATTTTAGAAAAATTATAACAGGCCATAGAAGCCTTTTGAAGGCTTTTTTTCTAAAAAATTTTTTTTTGGGAAAAAGAGATTCTTTTGCTTTGAAAATGTCGAATTATTTCCATTCTTTTTGTTATAGTCTTTTTATGTTGTAATGATTTTTATCAATTAACGATTTTTTTTTAATTCGCGTGGTCTTACTTTTTTTATGCTTATAAATATTGCAGGTTTCGTGTCTTGCAAAATTTAATATTACAGTCTCCTATAAAATTTGGGAATTGTGATTTTAACTTACGCTAAATTCTTGCGTTCGGAAATACCTCGTTAGAATGACAACGAGAGCAGAGCATAAAGTGAAGAAACTCGGTGATGTTATTATTGTCGCAATATTGTAAATTGGACAGTATGGACATTGTGAACTACCGCAAACTTCGCAAATATTGAGAAGATAGGTAGGCAGTGAATCGAACATTGTCTCGTTGAAACGTTCTGAAAAATTTAATTCAAATTATTTTTAAATGTTCTCTTTATAATTTTTGCATTTTTAATTATTATTTTATTTTATTTAAAACTTGAAGCATATCTACCTATAAAAAAATTGGTAATTGTGTCGAACTTCCCTCAATTAATGACAAAAATTTTAATGAAATTCTTTTAAAGATCCAATTATTTTTAATAAAATTATAGGAAATTTCAATTATTTTATATTTTAAAACTATTATATTATACATTTTAACAATTTTGAATTAAAATTCTTAGAAAATTCAATTATTTTCTATAATTTTAGTATAATTATTAAAAATATCCAGTTATTCTGTGAATTTTTAACTAGAAATCTTCAAAAATTCATTAAAATTAAAAAATTCAATTATTTTCAAAAATTTGAATATAATTTAGAAAAAATCAATTAGTTTTCAAATTTTTAACTCAAATTTGTGAATAATTCAATTATTTTCTATAATTTTAATATAATTGTTTGAAATATTCCATTATTTTGTGAATTTTGAACTAAAATTCTTTGAAAATTCAATTATTTTCGTCAAATTTCATATATTTTAAAGAATTCATATATTTAAACAATTTTAAATTAAAATTCTTAGAAAATTCAATTATTCTGTGAATTTTGAACTAAAATTCTTCATAAATTCAATAAAACTAGACAATTCAATTATTTGCAAAAATTTTAATATAATTTTTAAAAAAATTCAATTATTTTCCATTATTTTAATATAATTATTTGAAATATTCAATTATTTTGTGAATTTTTAAGTAAAATTTTTTGAAAATTCAATTATTTTCCTTAATTTTTATATATTTTGAAGTATTCAATTATTATTTTAATAAATTTTCAATTAAAATTCTTAGAAATTCAATTATTTGCAAAGATTTTACCTAATGTATTTAAAAAAAATTCAATTTGTTTTCGAATTTTTAACTAAAATTTAAGGACAATTCAATTATTTTCTGTAAATGTAGTGTAATTATGTAAAATATTCAATTATTAAATTAAAATTCTTTAAAAAATCAATTTTTGTTTAAATTTCAAATGAAATTATTTAAAAAATTTTATTATTTTCAATAAAATTTTATAAAATTTCAATAAATTAATAATAATTCTTTAATAATTTTTTTTTTAAATTCAAATCAATTTCAAATCTTTAAGCAATTTAATTAAAATTTTTTAGAAACGTAATTTTATCAGAATTATAAATAAAATTCTTTAAAACTTAAATAATTTTTGGAGTCAATATTTAATTATTATTAATTTCTTCACAACAATTAAAATTTTTCAAAAATTTTAGTTTAAAACCTTTTGAAATTTAACTATTTTTGAAAATTTACAATATTTTTTAATTGAGTTAATTAAAATTAATAACTTTAGGAAAATTATTCTAGAACTTAAATTATTTAAAGTAAATTTAATTATTTATGAAAATAAGAAAAAAATATCTTATTTTTTAAAAATTCATTATGATTCAAAATTTTTTACAGAAAATAGAATTCAAAGAGAATTTAAAGTTTTTATTTATTTTAACACCAGAAACTAGAAGTTTTGTAGTAATTCTATAATTTTGTTATTTTTCCAGTACTTTTGATAAAACTTCCTAACTTTTCTCTGAATTCCCTAATTTCCCTGATCGCAACCATGATAATATTGAAATATTATATTTTTTTTATACATACCAGGCGCATAATAATCGTAGACTCTAATCGGAAGATATCGAGACATATTCGCAACTGGGAACCATCTTTCCAATGTGAATTCAACACAAGTTTCTTCCTCATCGAGATAATCAAAGTAGAATAAAAGTTTTTGGTCCAGGAATCTCGCTCTCTGCAAATTTCTAATATCTCCCGTTCGTACGTATCTATCGAGATTTTGCTGTTGAATCATATAACCAGTTGGAACAGCAACGTCCAAAACTGCCATTCCCGATCGAATTGATTCATTTATATTTATCCATCTAAAATATTGGGGAAAATTTCGTTATTTGTTAGTCTTCAACAAAATAATAAATAATAAATAGTAAATAGTGATTTCACTATTTACTATTTATTATTTTGTAGTAAAATAAAATATAATTGTAAATAAATACTAAAAAGTACAAAAATACTAAAAAGGATAGCAAGCATTACCTTTGGCAACTGATGTAACTAATGTGAGACTGATTTCTTCCATGGAAATTGGCTCTTGTACGTAAATCGAAAGCCTTAACTGGAGGCTGTGTCTGATATCGGACATTATCAACATTATATTGAACAGTCATCTGCAAAATTGCGTAACCCGCTCCTTGTGCTTGCACTTTAACAGTTCCCCAAGCTTCCGGAATCTAAAATTATTTTTTTATTTAACATTTATATGATTGATTTTCGCTTTCAAGACTTGAATGAAAATTCTATTTTGTTCTCAAGAAGAATAAATACGAATATTCTAAATAATAATTATAAAAAATGATTATCGAATTATATGTATTTAAATAATTAAAATATTCAAACAATTACCTCAACTGACTGGAGAGTTGCTAGATTTTTACTGTTAACGTGTAGAGTTTTAGTGATGCCCGGCAAAGATGTTGCCTCGATGGTGACTGTCAATTGTGTGACTTCTCTCAATCTTTGAGTTTGTGTGTAGTACATTAAAGCTTTCATTGCCCAGGCAGTGTCCCTCGTCGATGCCCAACCTCCGTCCGTTAATCTCTGAGAATTTAACCATCTGACAATTGGCTGTATAAAGAAAATCTGTTGCTTAGCTGTGTACAATAACAATGCATAGGCCGTTGTTTCAATATTCTCCGAATCGTATTTATAAGGCAAACGTGGCAGTAAAAATGGTTTTTGATTTTCAATTTTCGTCGGTGGCTGCGGAACAGCTTCTCTACCCCAATACTTATACTCTCCTTCGTTTCTCGAATGTCTGTTTAAAATTTCAAAAGCCTCGTCATAATTACTCGAACCCTTCTCCTTGAGTGCATAGGCGACAATTGCGATTTCATAAGGTTGTCCAAATTCTCTCAAATAGGACATTTTTGTTTCCAACCATCTCGCGGCATTATCGGCTGCCAATGCGACTCTAGTTCCTAATCCACTGGATAAATCTTTAACTGAAGATAAAGTGATTAGAACGTGTGCAGTGAGGGAGATATTTCTGAAACGATAAAATCCGTATTCGTCAATGTAAGTCGTGTTCATTTTTCTATCAGGTAGCCAAGTGACTTCGTAGAACGAGCCCTCCTCTGTTTGATGTTGCAAAAGCCAGAGCACTGATTTCGCGACCATATCGGGATCGATGTAAATATAATTTTCATACTCGTAATTACTGGCAACTTCTTGAAAGACTTGAATAGTGTAGGCAGTGAGCCATACGCTTGGTGACGATTGATTCCAATCGCTACGAAACAGACTGAACGAGCCATCAGGATTCATGAAGGAAATTTGCTTCTGATACATAATATTCATGTAGTGGAAACTCTCCTTCTCTTGGGTGCGATTTCTCAAATTAACAGCTCGCATATGAAGCGTCGTGAACAAATGAGCGGCGAAATTGAAAATATTCTGCTCCCCACAATCCATTGGTAAAGTCAATAAACTCGTGGCATTAACTGGTATCGTTGGGAAAATAGGACCAACAACATCGCCAACAATACTGATTCTCGCCTTATTAGAACTGTAAACATAGTAACGATCTTCCGAATACGGAATAAGTGGTGTCTCCGTAATATTAACGTGCATATATTGAAAAGCATAAGCTCTGTTACTGAGATCCAAAAGAACGGACTCGTGACGAAATTGTGGAATACCATCGGCCTCAACGTGCACAGTTCGAGTTACGGAATCACGACCAATAAGTGCATTCGCATAAATATGAACCGTAATATCCCCAAGTCTCGTGGGAACAATCGGTAGATAAACAATCGCAACATCTTGTTTCTTAATCCAAACGAAGAATTGATGTTCTCCAAACGAAGTTCGTGGATTATACGACTTAACAAATCCATTTTCTTCCACGTGGACAAATTTAAAATCATTCGAACCACTCAGACCAATAGTTGCCTCGATATTATTCAGTAAATAATTGAAAACCGACACTCGAATACCAATTTGTTCTCCCTGTTTGATTTGCGTTGGCATTTCGACGTTAATAAAGAATGGCAAAATTCCCATATAGTCAATGGCTCTTGGTAGCATTCCAAAACCAACGCTGGGACTTATACTGAAGGCTGTGATCATCCAGTGAACGGGACGACGAGGAACGTCGATGTTGAAAATATAACGACCATGAGGTCCAATGTTGACGTCCTTCCAGAGCCACATGTTCTCATATTGACGTTGAATACGATTGAAACGATATTTTCTGAATTCGGAAATATCTGTTATGTTCGTGTGAAAACATCGTGCTTCGTCTGTACCGTCTTCGCAGTCGAATACACCGTCGCATTTCTTTTCCAAACGATAGCAACGTCCGTTTAAGCATTCACCGAAACCGAGTGTTCGATTGCAGACTTCGGGTTTACGATAAATTATTGCGTCCGTGAAGACGACGAGTCCTTGATATTCAAAAGTTCGATTCACATCGATTCCGAAACTTGATGAGGGGAAATAAACCAATTCATCTGGATCGCCATCATGGAATAACCAGGTGTGACTGTGTGTACCTGGAAATTATTATATATAATAATCGTCGTGATTCCAGATTTCCGGATCTCTGTCCACACTTGAAGTTAGTTATAGTTATTCTTTTGTTTTTTATACGTTTTGATAGAAAATAGAAATATACATATACATATACATACATACATTATAATAATCGTAAGTTTCCTTTCCGTTAGCAAATTATCTGCATTCATTTGTTTGTTTTGAAAATTTAATTTTGTGGGTTAAGTATTGGCATTTTTTATATATTTTTTAATGTCAAACTTTTTAATGTGGAAAATACTTTACTTATTAAATTGTCTCGACTCTTTGGTAAAAAATCTAAAGTTATCGAAAATTATCAAAAATTCAAAAATCCGAATTTCTTAAAATTTAACATTCTTTCCTCTCTTTTATAAGATTTAGCTTCATTATTTTTGTGCTTTTGAAAAAAACTTTACTTATTAAATTGTCTCGACTCTTTGGTAACAAATCTAAAATTATCGAAAATTATCAAAAATTCAAAAATCCGAATTTTTTAAAATTCAACATTTTTTCCTCTCTTTTATAGGATTTAGCTTCATTATTTTTGTGCTTTTGGAAAATACTTTACATATTCAATAGTCTCGACTCTTTGGTAACAAATCTAAAATTATCGAAAATTATCAAAAATTCAAAAATCTGATTTTCTTAAAATTCAATATTTTTTCTTCTCTTTTACGGGATTTAGCTTCATTATTTTTGTGCTTTTGGAAAATACTTTACTTATTAAATTGTCTCGAATCTTTAGTAAAAAATCTAAAATTATCAAAAATTCGAAAAAATTCAAAAATCCGATTTTCTTAAAATTCAACATTTTTTTTTCTCTTTTATGGGATTTAGCTTTATTATTTTTGTGCTTTTGGAAAATACTTTACTTATTAAATTGTCTCGACTCTTTGGTAAAAAATCTAAAATTATCAAAAATTCGAAAAAATTCAAAAATCCGATTTTCTTAAAATTCAACATTTTTTCTTCTCTTTTATGGGATTTAGCTTCATTTTTTTTGTGCTTTTGGAAAATACTTTACTTATTTAATAGTTTTGACTCTTTGGTAAAAAATCTAAAATTATCAAAAATTCGAAAAAATTCAAAAATCCAAATTTCTTAAAATTCAACATTTTTTCTTCTCTTTTATGGGATTTAGCTTCATTATTTTGGTGCTTTTAGAAAATACTTTACTTATTAAATTGTCTCGACTCTTTGGTAAAAAATCTAAAATTATCGAAAATTATCAAAAATTCAAAAATCCGAATTTCTTAAAATTCAACATTTTTTCTTCTCTTTTATGGGATTTAGCTTCATTATTTTTGTGCTTTTGTAAAATACTTTACTTATTAAATTGTCTCGAATCATTGGTAAAAAATCTAAAATTATCGAAAATTATCAAAAATTCGAAAAACCGAATTTCTTAAAATTCAACATTTTTTCTTCTTTTTTAAGGCATTTAGCTTCATTATTTTTGTGCTCTTTAGAAATACTTTACTTATTTAATAGTCTCCACCCTTTGGTAAAAAATCAAAAATTATTAAAAATTATCAAAAATTCGAAAAATCGAATTTCTTAAAATTCAACATCTTTTCTTCTTTTTTAAGGCATTTAGCTTCATTATTTTTGTGCTTTTGGAAAATACTTTACTTATTAAATTGTCTTCACCCTTTGGTAAAAAATCAAAAATTATTAAAAATTATCAAAAATCCGAAAAATCGAATTGCTTAAAATTCAACATTTTTTTTTGTCTTTTATGCCATTCAGCTTTATTATTATTTGAATTTTTATTCAAGAGAAAAAATGGAAAACTGAAAAAATTTAGAATTTTTTAAAAATTACAGGCCTTTTCCATGATTTCCCTGATTTCCAGAAGCCTCTTAAAAATTCCATACCATTTTCATGATTTTCCAGATTCTGTAGGAACCCTGCTTTTGTCTGACTTTCTTCTAAATTATCGAATTCAGTGATTTCTGGGGTGAATTTGGTTAAGTTGTAAAATGATTAATTTCTATTTGAATTCGTTTTTTTTTAATGTAGAAAATCTGATGTTAATTTAATTCTTTTTTCGTTATGCACGGCAAAAAATATTTAGCTGGATGAACTACAGATTTCACTTTAGTAGCGAAATTATTCAGTGCTTCAATTAATACTTTCGTTATTCTAGAGAAACTTATCGCTATTTCAAGTAAAACTTTTTTCATTGTGTAATAATTATTATTTCTTTGAAAAGTATTTAATTTAAAATGGCTTTATAAAATAAGCAATGCAAAAGATGATCCAGATACTAATTGTAATTGTTCTAGCCATAGTTTAAGTCTAGTAATGTAAATTCTATTTAAATTGAGACCATTGAGTGAAATTATTTGAATTTTAGTTAGTTAAATCTCTTTGTTAGGTTATAATAATTATTTCTTTAAAATTTTTTAAATTGTTTAAAATAATAGCAGCCCCATACAACATTCCCGCGCGCTTGCGCGCGGATAGTTTGGCTAGTAATTGAATATTCTCATTAACACTTCGAACTATTCGAAAAATGTTAATTTTGCTATAGAAAATTTATTTTCATTCTCATAAAAAATGAGAAGGTGATGTTTTATTAAATATTCGCAAATTATTGCATGTGTGACGCTCCGTGACGAAATTTCCACTTGTTTGAAGATTTTTCAATTCGTTACTTACGAAAATTCGTTTCAATTCAATTAAACTAATTTTTCTTTCGGAAATATAATTCAATTCAATACAAATTCAATTCAATTATCTTCAAAAAATTTAAAAAAAACATATTTTCAAATATACCTATTTTTAAAAGAATTTCTCAATTAAATTATTTAAAATATTAACAATTTTGTTAAATATATATATATTTAAATACTTATTGTTTACATTTCCACGGAAATTAAAATTTTCAATAAATTTCAATTTCAAACCTTTTGAAATTTAATTATTTCTAGAAATTGATACCGTAACTTCACCAAAATTCAATTATTTTCTAGAATTTTCAACTAAAATTGTTTATTAAATAAATTAGTTTTGATTATTGAGAAAATTCTTTCAGAAATTAATTAATCAAAAGAATGTTACTTAAAACATTTCAAAAAATCAATTGTTTGCAATTTAATTTTATTTATTTAGTTAAAAAATTAATTATTCGAAAAATGTTCAATTAAATAATTCAAAAATTTAGTTAATTTAAAAAAACTTGAATGGAAAGTTCTATAATCTACTTCTTGAAAATTTTTAATTTAAATTATTCAAAATTTAAGTTTTGAAAAATTTCGATTGGAAAACATTTTGAAATTTAATTATTTAAAAAAATTTCTATTAATAAACCCTCCAAATTATTGTTTAGAATTTTTAACTAAAATTTTTCTCTAAATCAAACTGTTTTAATTAATTTGAAAAAATTCTTTAAGAATTCAATTATTCAAAAGACAAAGTTTATTTTAAATACTTCTAAAAATCAATGGTTTGCAATTAAATTTTATTTATTCATTTATTTAAGAAATTTCAATTATTTGAGAATTTTTTCTATTAAATTAAAAATTCAATTAAATATACAGTAAGAAAAGCTATCCGTCAGTCATAGGAAAGTATGGGAATCGCATAAGTCTGTCTCACTCCCACTCATGGGACATGACTGACGTGGTAGGTTTTCGTACCATATATTCAAAAATTCAATTAAATTCAATAAAAACTGAATAAAAAGCTCTAAAATCTTACTTTTTGAAAATTTTAAATGAAAATTATTCCAAAAAGTTTTCAACAATTTCAAATTGAAACATTTTTTTAATTTAATTATTTCTTTAAATTGCTACCAGAATTTCACCAAAATTAAACTGTTTTCTAGAATTTTTACTTAAATTCTTTTTTAAATCAATTACTTTTAATTATTTTGAGAAACTTGTTTCTCAAAAAAAAAAAAATGTTTAAAAAAAATATAATAAAAAATGTTTAAAATCTTACTTTTTGAAAACTTTTACTTAAAATTATTCAAAATTTCAATTTTCAAGAATTTTAATTTGAAATTATTATGAAATTTAATTATTTCAGAAAATTTCTATATATTTCTAACTCTTCCAAATTATTCTCTAGAGCTTTTAACTGACATTTTCCTTTAAATGTATTATTTTTAATAATTTTCAAAAATTTTCAAAAAAGAAAAATTCTTCGAAAATTTAACTATTTAAATACAAAAATTCAATTTTTTTTATTGAAATTGCAACTGTAACTCTTCATAAAACTAAACAGAAAATTTGTAAAAAACACAAAAAATCAGAATTTCTGTATCATTTTCTAGAATCAATTGTTTACAATGAAATTAATAAAATTTCGAATATTCGAAAATTATTCATTTAAATTTTTTAAAAATTTAATTATTTCATAAAGTTTTTACTGATAATTCTTTTAAATTAAATGAATATTTGAATATTTAGCCAATTTCATAAAAATTGAAATGAAAATTTTTCAAAATCTTTCTTCTTTGAAAACTTTTAATTAAAATTATTCAAAATTTAAATTTTCGCAAATTTCAATATAAAAACTTTTGAAATATAATTATTTTGAAAATTTTCTACTAATAACTCTTTCAATATTCAATTAATTTCTGGAATTATTAATTAATAATAATTTTTAATATTTTCAAAGATCATTCAAAAACCAGAATATTTGTATCACTTCTAGAAATTTGATATTTTTGAACTACTTCGGATAAAATTCCCTAATTTGTCCGACTTGTGACAACTCAGTTGTTGTCAAAATTCACAAAAATCTAAAAAAAAGTCCAATTTTGCTGAAAAAAAAGTTCAAAAAGTCGAGTCGAAAAAATCTTACCACCCGAGGCCTGTTAATAAAACAAGAACAAAAATCAATATTTTTTGTCAATTTAGTGGAAATTTTTAAGAACTAAGGTACTTTTTGTCACCGAGCGTCACACGTTAAAATATTTAAATATATTCAAATACTCACCATTGCTTTCTTCATCAAAATGAGCCATTTTTGAAATAACATTCGCGTAAGTTAATTCATTTCCAGCTTGCATTGTGAAAAATGATCTATCAATTCCCGAAAGACCAACATAAGCACCAGGTTCTCCATAAATAGCAACCTCAACATTTTCTCCAGTTCTTGCCTTTCTGTTATTAATCAAAACAGTGAAATTGTTTCGTGAAATTCCATTAACCGGGAACGTTAGAGAATCAGCAATCACTTCACCATAGCGGCCAACATAGTAGACAACAGCCGTAGCCACTGGTGCCATTTCAGGACTCAATGGCACAGCAAATGTTCTAATATTATGTTGCATATCGTCCTGTCCACTCAAGAGAATTAACCCCTTCGACATAATAATATAATTAAACGCATCAATATGGAAATTTGTCTGCACATGCAATACAAGATATTCTCCCACTTTTGGCTTCTGTGTGGACGTTGAAACTTTAATGTTCTTATGATTCGGCGATTCATGAGCCAAAAGAATGAGTTCCGCTGTCGCTGAATGTCCCTCGCCGTCTATCAGAGTTGCATAAACTTTCATTGAAGTCACTTCGTTGAGAACTTGTTGTGCTCGTTGTGGATTATCATTTACTCCAAGTTCTTTGGCGAGATCCATTTTTAAAAACCATATGGCATTATTTTCGGCTGTTGGTTGTATTGTTCTACTGTCCAAATTCCTTCGACCCGATCGCATTTCGACGTCTGCACGAATGTCCAATCTGGCTCCCCAAAGTTGACTCGGTCTCAATGGCGAGCCATCGTGAAATGATGAGATGAGATTTAGAGGAAATGGCATCGCGGGTTTGAATACTTGTGGCGAATCACCGGCGAAGTGAATTTTTATTGTTGAATTGTAAATTCGTGCTTTCGAATAACCGACTATTACTTCTTCGAGAAATTTCTCTCCAACAGTTGCGGTTATTAGAATTTCCATCCCTTCTGTACTCGAACCGTATGAAATTAATTCTCTCAAAGGATATTGAAATCTGAAAAATTGCAAATAATGGGAATTAAAATTTTTGTAAACAAAATCCTTCGAACAAATTTAAACAAATTCGAACAAAATCAGCCTTCACATTTTTTCATCTACTAAAACCTACTAATTAATACTTTTTTTTAGATTTGTGAAACTAAAATCTACTTTTTTCTATGTTTGAGAATTTGCACTACTTTAAATTCGCTAATAATTGGAATAAAAGAAATATTCTCAAAAATTTTAATAAAATTCTCTCAATCAATTCAATTATTTTCAATATCTATTATTTTAATAGAAACTAAATTATTTAAAACTCAATTTTCAAAAAAAATTTCGAAAAAATCAATTATTTAAAAAAGATTTAATAAAGTTCTTCACAAAAAATAAATAAATAAACTGGTAATTTAATTCTAATAAGAGAAAAATCTTCAAAAACGGAAATTAAAATTTTTTAAAAAATCTACTTTTTTTGGATTTTTTATTAAAATTTGTGAGCAATTAAGTGTTTTCTTATTTTTTGTAATTAAATTTCTTTATAAAAATTTTATTATTTTTTAATATTTTCCAAATCTTCCAGTAAAAAATCCAATTATTTCTGAAAATTTTACACAAAATTTCAATTATAAATAATTAAAAAATATAGTGTCTTTCAAAAATGATTTAAAAATAATTTTCAAAAACTATTTTTATAAATTTTTTTTATCATAATTATTTAGAAATCAATTATTTTTAGTACTTTTAATTACTTATATTTAATAATTCACATTAAAAATTTTTAAATAGACTCATCTTAGTTCTCAAGAACTAAGATATTGAAAAATGTTAATTTCAATTTTTATGAAATTGGCTAAATATTCAAATATTTATTTAATTTGAAAGAATAATTATTATTATTTCTCAAATATTCAAAATATTCTTTAATTAAATTACAAACAATTGATTTTAAAAATACTGCAAAAATTTTGGTTCTTGTTGTTCTTTAGAATTTTTTTTCTATTCTTATGAAAAGTTACAGTTGCAATTTTAATAAAAAATTGAATTTTTGTATTTTTATAATCAAATTTTCGAAGAATTCATGGAAAATTATTAAAAATAATTGATTTGTAGAGAAGTTTAAAATTGCAGAAAATAATAAAATACCGCTAGCGTTATAGTTTTTAAATTGAAATCTTTAAAAATTTTAATTGCTGTAAAAGTCTAATTAATTTTTAGATATTTATTTTAAGAAATCATGCATTTATTATTTTCCTAAAAAATTAATAAAGTTTTGAATAATTTCATTTAAAAATTCTAAAAAATAATTGAATTTTTGAAGAATTGCAATTGTAATTTTTAAATTAATTTATTATTTTTATAAAAAATTATTATAAAGTTTGGAATAATTTTATTTAAAAATTTTAAAAAATAATTGAACTTTAGAAGAATGTTTAGTAAATAATAATTTAATTTCAAAAGGTTTTACATTAAAATTATTATTTAAAATTTTTATTTCTATGTGGAAAAATAAATAATAATAAGGTATTTATTTAAATATTAATTTAACAAAAATTATTGCTGTTCTGAATAATTTAATTTAGAAATTCTGAAAAACTTCTGTTTTTGAAACATTGTAATCAAAATTTTTTGAAGTATGTAGTTGAATTCAACGAAAATAATATTTTTAAAAAATTGAAACAATTGGAAATTTTGTCAAATTTCTTTGACATCAATTTTATATTTGAATGAATTTTGTTTTTTTTTACTTTTAAAAAATAATCGTTCTTTTGAAGAATTCTAACTAAAAATCTGGATAGTAGTTGGAATTTTAGAAAAATTTAAAATTGAAGTTATTAGCAGGATAAGAAAAGAAGTTGACGAATTTTTTTTGGTTAAATTCGTAAAGGAAGTTTTGTTGTTGAAAAAATAACTCACCTATAGGTTCCATTGAAGAGTCGAAGAACAGGGACTCGTTGTCCTCTTTCGTCGTACATTTCACGTGATGTTTTGAACCAGGATGGATAATATTCGTCAAATTCCATATATCTCTCGCGAACATCTTGATATTGTGTAGTACTAGTCGTGTAGTATTTATTTAGATGTCGAATACTTGCCTTTAGGGTTAAATTCCCCCGTACCGGTGCACCGGAAGTATAATTCGCCTGAACTATACCATAAACATATGGATCAGTATCGAAAAAGAAGGCCGGCATCGTAACATTAACTTCAAATCGTGTCTGATAGTATTCCTCCACAGAGAAGACTTTTCTCTCCTCTTGACTTTGTGCGATAACTAAAATTGTCCAATTTCCATAAACGGGCTGATCGGATAATTGATAAGTTAGAGAAACTGTTCCTAAATTACTCTGTTTGCTGAGCCAGCGACGCATTTTTCGATTGAATGGATCCAATATGTGAATTTCAACAGGATCATTGAAAGTTTTTAATTCCGTGTTTATTGGTATTGTTCGAAAATGCACCGTTTGTCCTTGCATGTAAACTGGCTTGTCGGTTTGAATAAATATTGTCATTGATCTTTGGGAGAATACCAATTGTGTTTCGTTCAAAAATGCTTGTCCACCAGTTAAACTGTTGAACATTCCGGCAACGCGGAGACGATAATTTCCCACGACTGAACTCGCTGGTACTTGTAGAACTAAAGTTTCGGGAATTCCTTCTTTTACTTCGGAATGATCTTCTGCTACTTCGACACCATTTCTTTGAATTGACGCCTGCACCACTATTGGAAGAGCACTTTGAAGAACGTTCACTGCCACTCGATAAAGATGTCCGGGTCTCACCATTCGAGACGCTACTATGAAATAAGTTCTGAAAAAATAGAAATTACAAATTAGATATCATAAGCTAAAAATTACGAATTCAAAATTCTTATTCAAAAGTATTAAAAATACAATTAACGTATTATTTTTTTATTAATATTTCAATAAAATTTTTCCCGAGAATTCAATTATTTTCAAAAATTTAAATACATTTCTTCGCAAGAATTCAATTATTTTAATAAAAATAATAAAATTCTTCGCAGAAATTCAATTATTTTCAAAAATTTCAATACAATTCTTCGCAAAAATTCAATTATTTTTATAAATAATAAAATTCATGGCAGAAATTCAATTATTTTCAAAAATTTTAATACAATTTTTTTAATACAATTAACAATTACTTTTAAAAATTTTAAATAAAATTCTACATAAGAATTTAATTATTTTAATACAATTTTAATATTAAATTCGTCGAAAAAATTTGCAAGAATTAAATAATTGATATAAACAATAAAACAACAAGAAAATTCAATTATTTTCTAAAATTTTAATAAAATTCTTTTTAGAAATTCGATTATTTTTATAAATAATAAAACTCTTTGCAAAAATAAAATTATTTTCACAAATTTCAATACAATTTTTCGCAAAAATTGAATTATTATTTTTATACATTCTTCTTCACAAGAGTTCAATTATCTTCATTAAAAATGAAATCCATTACAGAAGTTCAATTATTTTCATAAATTTCAAAAAATTACTCACAAGAATAAAAAATAACTTTCATAAATAATAAAATTCTTCTGCGAAGTTCAAATATTTCCAGTACAATTTTAATAAAATTATTTGAAGAAATTCAATTACTTTAAAAAAATTTTGAAAAAAAATTCTATGTACTTAAGAATTTAATTCTTTTAAATACAATTTTAATGTTAAATTCGTAGAATAAATTTGGAAGTATTACATTATTGATATAAACAATAAAATTCTTCTCATGAATACAATGATTTTCATAAAAAATAAAAATCTTTAGGTGAATTAAATTATTTTTAATTTAATTTTTGAAAAATTTTTTCACAGGAATTTAATTATTGTAAAAAATTTTTTGAATTCATATAAAAAAATTCAATAATTTTCATCTATAGTTTTAATTAAATTTCTTAAAAGAATTTAATTATTTAGTAAAATTTTATTAAAATTCTTTCAAAAATTCGATTATTTTCATAAATAATAAAATTGTTTGCAGAAATATAATTATTTTCAATACAAATTCAATAAAATTTCTGTCAAGAATTTAATTATTTTTTTTATAAACTTTTATTAGGTAAATTCTTAGCAGAATTTCAATTATTTTCAAAAATTTTAATAAAATTGTATATAACGATTAAGTTGTTTTCAGTAAAATTTTAATAAAATTCTTTGCGAAAAATTTAATTATTTTTAATACAATTTTAAGAAAACTTTTTGGAAAGAATTCAATTATTTTTAATGAACTTTTATAAAATTCATCTCAGAATTTCAATTATTTTCAAAATTTTTTTATAAAATATTAATTAAATTCGTCGAGAAAATTTGCAAGAATTAAATTATTTTCATAAATAATGAAATTCTTTGCAGGAATACAATTATTTTCTATACAATTTTTATAAAATTTCTCGAAAGAATTCAATTATGTATTCTAAAAATTATTTTTAAATTCAATTATTATTTTTAATAAACTTATCAAATTCTTCCAAAAAATTCAATTATTTTTACAAATAATAAAATTTGTACGATTTAAATTCAGAATCAATTAAGATTTTAGTCGATAAAGTTTGTAAAATGGATGCCAAAATTTAAAAAAAAGGTGATAATCTGTGATCCTTGCGAAAAGAAATCGAAATTTTCTTCTTTTTAAAGAAACAGAAAGAAACTTTTTTTTTCACTCACGCTTCTTTAATAATAACATCTCCCAGTCCAGAACTTTTAAAACTTCCATATCCGATATTCGAGTCTTGTGTCAAAGGATTATTGTTATAACTAACTCCAGAACCTTGATCTCTATCTTGATTTGGTCTGTAATTATTGGGAGAATTTACACCGTAATCCGGACTTTCTGGTCTATATCCAAATGGTGGATTTTGATTTCTATCGTCGAATCTTCCCCATGGTTGTTGAGTTGATATATCGTTTCGATTAAATTGATCCTGATTCCAATCTGTATCGTACTGGGCTTTTCCAGTTGTTGATATTACTGCCAAAAACAGTAAGACCCACATTTTCCTGTTAAAAAAATCACAATTAAATTACTATTATTGAAATATTTAAAATTAAGTAAATAAAGAGCAAAATTTATAATAATTACAATAATTAAGTAATTTTTACTGCAATAATAATTATAGTAATGAGGTAACATTCATTTTAATTGCAATAAAAAATATTTAGAAAATATTCTTTCATAATATTCGAAAATAAACCTAAAGCAACGTTTTCCCTCACTGTAATTAATGAAATGACTCATTCATACGATCATTACATGAAAAAAAAAGTCTAAAGTAAATAGAAATGAAATTTTATTTAAATTTTCGAAAATTTAAATAAAATTTAAAAAAAATTTAAAGAATTAATTTACATCTGCCAATATCTTATTCTTATTTATCCAAAAGTTCTAAATATGACAAATTTTACCTAATCTGGAATAAATTGAGTCTTATTTTTTATAAGTTTACAAATTTCTCATTTTGTTAGCTTTTTTAAATATAATAAATAAGTCAAAAATAATTTTAGTTTTAAAGTTAAAAGAAAAGATTTTGAAAAATTTAATTTTTTCAACTATAAAGAAAAATAGAAAATAACAAAATTTAACTTCTAATTAAAAAAAACTAATTATGTATTGTTATTTGAAAGTGATCTCACTCGATAAATACCATGCCGTTGACGCCCTTAAGACATTTAATCAGATCTACCGCGCTGGGGGAATTTAATTCATTTATATCTATATTTTCATGAATGTAAAATTTACAAATTTTAACAAAATAAAATAGGGAAATTTGTAAATTAATTTTCTTTTAATTTTCTAATTGTTAATTAAAAAAATATTAATAGTAGAAGAGAAATGTTTGCGTCGCGATGAATGGTCAACGCCCAAAATATATCTGTATGCAAACGTTTTACCTACCTGCTTGCACGATGGCGTTTCTTCCTCTTTTATGTGTCACATATATCAGAATCGAAATTATTCACTTTACCCTGAGTAATTCACTTTTCCCTAGAATAATAATTTAATTTTTAAATTCAATAATATATTGCACTTTTGAAGCAACTTTGTTCATAATAAAAGAATTTTTCTTAACACTCAAACTTGTACTTAAATAGTTATTTTATGAGTAACTATACCATTACTATCCTATAGATGATGGTACTACTTACACCAATGTATGATGAATGTATGGTGTATTGCAACTGTATGCGTATACAAGGTGTACAATCATCTACTATACAAAACTCCCACATGCGCCTGCATACATTAAACATTACTGTACTCTATTATGTCTGTCCCCCTGTGACAAATATTTTTTCACGCATATTAAATTAGAGGGTTTTTTTTCTAATTCCCTCAATTTGAAATTTTGTAATTTTATATTCTTTCCAAAAGGGATTTTATAAAATTTCCCACGGTTCCACTTGTTTATTTCTTTCTACTTTAGAATTTCAAAGTTTGCTAAAAGTAAACTTTTTTGCAAATTTGTGTGTACGGCACTGACGTCACTTGCGTGTTGCGTATTTTTCGTATTTTTACAATAGCAAAGTGTTTTTAATTGTCACCACGTTGTTATGGTTGTAACATTTTTAAACAACAAGTTTTTTTGTTTATTTAAGAAAAAAGGATTGTTTATAAAATAATTATAAAAGATTCTGCAATTCAGTAAGTATTATAATGTGGTACTTGACGAATTTTTGACGTAGAGAATGCAAATTATACTTTTTAGGTTATATTTATGCCCGGTACTTTTGTATTGTTTGTATTTATTACCTGCGTAATGAATATATACTGTGATAAATGAATTAATCATTAATTAATTATAATTACTAATATATTATTATATTTTATAAATAATCGAGATATTCTGACCTCACATGAAGTAAGAGCCTTTCGATTTCAAATTGTTTTACAGCTCAAATTGTCATGTCAAAAGTTTGAAAATCATTGAAGAATTTTATTAAAATATTTGAGAATAATTAAATTCCTTCGAAGAATTTTGTTGTTTATGAAAATAATTGAATTTTTGCAAAGATTTTACTATTTAAAAAAATAATTCAATTGTTCCGAAGGATTTAAGAAAATTTTTGGAAAATAATTGAATATTTTTTCCTGAAATTTTATTGAAAATAATTGAATTCTCGCGAAGAATTATATTAAAATTTCTGAAAATATGAACAATAATAATTAATTATGTACTTAATAAGTGAATATTATTTACATTTCTGATGATTTATATTTTTCTAGTTGAAAATGACAGCGATTCAAAGAAATCGAATAAAAAAGGAATTGGCCCGTTTATCGGAACACCCACCAGAAGGAATCTCTTGCTATGCAAAAAATGATAAATTGGATAATTTAACTGCTGTTATCATTGGACCTAATGGCACACCCTACGAAGGTGGATTATTTCAATTAGATGTGAATATCTCCGAAAGATATCCATTTGAACCACCGAGTGTGAAATTCGTCACACCCGTTTATCATCCAAATATCGATACAACAGGTTTAATTTGTATGGATCTTTTGAAAATGCCTCCAAAGGGCGGTTGGAATCCAACAATATCTTTGGAAAATCTCCTAACGGCTGTACAACTCTTATTGGGAAATCCAAATCCAGATGATCCTCTGATGGCGGAAATTGCCGACGAATTAAAATACAATAAAGCGGAATTTGAACGAAAGGCAAGAATGTTTATGTTAAGTAATTCGAACAGTAAAAATTAATTATTAGTAAAATTAAATTAAGCTTACTATAAGTGGCGAAAACAGTTTTATATTTTTTTAAAGCGTTTTACAAATAATATAATATATAAATATGTTTGTTATTAATATTCTTATCTGCAGAGGCCATATTTTATTTCAGTGGGTTCACAATTTAATTTCGCTTATATTTATCTAAATTTAAAGCAAAAAATTTGCCAATAAACAATTTAATATAAATCTTTTTTTTATAATAGCATTCCAACTTGTAAACGAATTTATAATTTTTATCAATATTATTCTTATAAAGCATGAAAGTAATTCCTCTTGCGGGAATATTAAGCTTTCTTTTTCAATGTCGGATAAATTTAATAATTTCGGCTAAGTTTACTAAATTTAGCTAATTTTGCCAATTTCAGCTAATTTTACAAATTTCACCTAACTTTACAAATTTCAACTAATTTTTCCCATTAGTGAAAAGAATTTTCCGCTATCTTAACAATAAAATTTTGCACCAATTAACCTTTAATCGAAAGAAGTCAACAGTTTATCTTTTTCGAAAATAATTAACTTGAAGCAACAAAATGTGAACACACGATACGTATATTTATTTTCTTAAGCCTTCAATCTTATTCTATAGTTTTTATAATATAATATATATAAATGTGTCTAGTACACGAATAAAAAAGCTAAATTTATCACGAAATGCCCATCCGTATACTATTTTTTTTTCTTTCCTTTGTATAACAGATGTGTAAACAATTTTCAAATCGCCTCACGCCTAAATTAATAATTTGCTACAAAACAATAACAATGTTGTTCGAATTGAGCTACGAAATTATTCAACTATTTTATTTTTTCAATTATTATAATATTTATAATCCCATATAGCGATTTTGCTTCCTAGAAGAAAGTATTCTTTTTTTATTCGTGTCTAATTATTTTTTTTTTCAATTTCATTTATTAAAATAAAAATTTAATTTAATGAGAAAAATATTTTTTTTAAAAATAAAATATCACTTTTTTGGGAAATATTGATATGTTTTGATACTTTTTACATTCGGGTAAAAATGAGAACTTTTTGTGAGTGTAAAACGTTTTAAATATAATGAATATAGTTCAAATAAATATCGTGGCTCAATTTTTGAGAAACCAGAGGCACACATTTAAAGGCAGTGATTAGATAATTAGTACAATATAGACATAACATTATAGATGAAGATTCAATTACATTTTTTTTTGAGCTTTTTCTATTTATGATATAGTTATGATGAATTATCACAATGTCACGCTTTTAAAAAATTTTCACAAAAAGCACGATGATAAAGTGCGTAGCAGTATTCTTATTTTAATTATTTTTCTATATTTTATATAATAAATATTATCGAGACTCAATTTTTGAGCTCAATTTTCATATTGACGAAAATATATTTGTGTCACATGAAGTAAAATATAAAAAATTTGAATTATTGTTCTATTTGTTTTTAAATACAACAATTGACTGAAAATTGAGAAATAACTTCTCGGATATGAATATTTAATTCGTTTCTTGTTTTTTCGTTAGTTTTCATTATTTTATGACGGATATAATTTTAGGCTTCGCACTCATTAAAAATAATTATTAAAATGATACAAAATTTTGGTATAATTCAATTATTTTTAAATAATTTGAAATATAAAATTTATCTCAAAAAATTTGACAAATTTTCCGATTGTTTCAATTTTTTAAAATTATTTTCGTTAAATTCAACTATTTTCAAAAAAATTTAAGTACAATTATTAAAAAAAAATCATTTTTTTTAAGAATTTATGAATTAAATATATTCAAAACTTGAATAATTTTTGTTAAATATCTAATGCTTTCTTATAGAGGAAGGATTGTATTTTTATTTTTTTGCCACTGGAAACAAAATTTTAAACAATTTCAATGCAAAACCTTTTAAAATTTAATTATTTCTAAAAACTCTTCCAAAATTCGATTATTTTTTAGAATTTTCAAATAAAATTATTCAAAAGTCTAATAGATGTTTATAAAAATGAAAAAAATAATCTGAAAATTAAAACTGCTATTGTTCCAGAATTCAATTATTTTAAAAAAAAATTTTAATGAAATTATTCAAAACTTTAATAATTTTTTATAAAAATAAAAAAATAATCTAAAAATTAGTATAAAACTTTCAGAAAATAATGGAATTTTTTACTGTAAAATTTGGAAAATATTAAAAAATAATCCAATTTTTATAAAGAAATTTAATTACAAAAATACGAAAATATTTGATTTTTCACAAATTTTGTAGATAAGTCCAAAAAATTATTTTTTTTTTAAATTTTAATTTACGTTTTTTAAAGAAAATTTAATTTCATAAAAAAAATTGTGATTTTTTTTATAGAAAAAAATATTTTTATGTAAATTTTTGAAAATAATTGAATTTAAAAATTTTTTTTGACAATTTCAATGATTTTAATTTAAAAATCTTTCGAAATTTAATTATTTCAAAAAAAAAATTACCTATTGTAATGCTTCTAATAGTCAATTATTTTCTAAAAGTTAAGTTAAGTTTTACGATAATTCAATTATTTAAATATAGGTAATAATAAATAATTCGTAAAATAATTGATTATTTCTAGAAATTGCAATTGTACCTCTATTTATATTTTTAAAATTTTTAAGATGAGAAAGTAAATTATTTTTCAAAAAAGTTGTTAAAAAACGTTAGATGAAATAAATTACTTTGGAAATTAATTAATGTATTTTAATTTTAGTCAATTGTAGTTTTTTATTAGCAGGTAAAATTTTAATCGTTTGAAATGTGAATCGACAAAGATTAAATTATATTAATTTGAATTAATAAAGTTAAATTTAGTGATAAAATTAATATATTTATATAAAACGGAAAATTTTAAGGTGAATTGGTGATTCCTGAATTTATAATTATTATTTTGAGGAAAAGGAATATTAATTTTTTTATTTCAACTGTTAGCAGATTTTAAGTAGTGATTATTTTCATTAGAAAAAAATTAGCTTTCAGTGGCACAAAACTAGGAAAGCAGTAGAAAAATAGTAAAAAATAGAAAAAAAAGGTTTTAGAAGATAAGTGCGAAGCCTTTAATTTTCGAACGGATATAATTTCTTTTCAAAGTTTGAAATGAGTGAAAGCATTTTTATCGCATTACCATATAAACTCCTTCTTGTGATGTATTTAATTCTTCAGATTTGTGCGTGATTTTTATGCAGGGTGACATTGGAACGTAATCAGAGGTATCGATTAAATTGCGATTTATTACCTTTTCCTCGGGAGTTGGTGTCGCATCCGATTGAGTATTTGGCGTTGTAGATCTTGTCCCTCCCTCCGAATCCAATCCATCATCACTGGGACTAAAATTTTCGAAAGAAACAAAATTTTATTGAATAATCGGAAAAAAAGGTAAATAAAATTTAATTGACCATTAACAAAACTAACCTTCCATTCTTTTTAGAATTCGAAGCGCCTTGATGTCGTGGTGGTAGAGGCGGTGGTTGAAAATGTAAAATATCCGAATTTAGAATAACATCCTCGGGATCCTCGTATAAATGTGATGGAACCGTTTTATTTTTTATCGTTATTTTTCCATCATCGACAATCTCCTCATAAATTCCCGATGCTATTGAAATATTCGAGACTCTCTTTGGACAGGGACTTTTTAATTGATCAAAACTGGCGACAAAATTTGGATTACTTGACGCTGGTTCTGATTCATAGACATTGTCAATTGCACGTGTATGAATTTTTGTTTGTAATGCTTCACTATTGTCTCGACTTGTTTTCGATGAGAGAATTAATCCGAGACCTGCATTTATCAGACTCGAAGTGGCTTTGCTTTTTAATGCTGGAAAAGATTGATTATCCTCGTCATTGTATATTGATATCCTGAGATCACCTTCACTACGACTCAATGGCCGTTGGGCAAAAATTTTGTGCTTTGGACCACGACCTTGCGTTACAAAATCTTGCAATAATCGTTGAGCGTTTAGACAAAATATATAAAGTTCACCGACACCGCCACGAAATTCTTTTGTTGTGTGTATGACGCAAATTCTCTTCACATCGTCAGGACGACCGTTTGTCGATAAATGAAATTCGTTAAATTCTTTCCATTCGAAATTTTGTACTATCTCTCCTGAATGAGCGTCTTTTATAAATACTCCTAAATTACTGGCTATTAAATCACCGTGAAGACCTGTTGATTAAAAAAATTCAATTCAATTAATTCGTCCATGGATTGCATTATCTATGATCTATCTTCTATATTAAAAATTCTTGTAATCCAGTAAAGTGTTCGCAATTTGAAGTTAGATTTTCGCTTTTTTGTTTCCTAACTTTCTTAATAATTTTTCTTTTTACATGATTTCAATTTTAAACTTAATGTATATTTTGACAATCTTTAAATTCTTGCGAAGAATTTTAACAAGAACTTTGAAAATAACCGAATTCATTCCAAGAATATCATCAAAAATTTTGGAAAATAATTGAATACTTTTGAGAAATTTCATTAAAGTTGCATTGAAAATAATTGAATTCACGCGAGGAACTTTATTATCAATCAAAATATTTAAATTTGTGCCAAGAATTTTAATTAAAAATATATTGAAAATAATTAAATTCTAATAAACAAATTTTGTCAAAATTTTTGAAAATAATTGAATTCTTCTAAAGAATTATTTAATAATAAATAATAATTTTTTATGAAGAATTTTAAATAAGTTAATTAAAAAAATAATTGAATTTTTTGAGAAGAAATTTATTAAAATTTTTTAAAATAATTTAATTCTTCCGAGGAATTTTATTCAAATTGTATTGAAAATAATATTGTACTCCTGCAAAGCATTTTAGTATTTATCAAAACATTTAAATTCTTGAAAATTATTTTGACGAATTTAATAGAAATTTTATTGAAAATAATTCAATTCTTTCTAGAAATTGAATAAAAATTTTATAAAAAATTCTGAAAAAAATTGAATTTCTGTGAAGAATTTTATAAAAGTTTATTAAAAATAATTGAATTCTTTCGAGTAATTTTATTATTATTAGATTTTACGCAGAATGTTTTTCAACTTTTCAGAATAATTAAATGTAAATTAATATTTATTACTAAAAATTTAATTATTGAATTTTATGAAAATTTTTTGAAAATAGTTAAATTTAATAATTAATTTTTTGCAAAATTTTATTAAAATTTCTGAAAATAATTGAACTCTTTGGAGAAATTTTATTAAAATTGAATTGAAAAGAATTGAATTTATGCCAAGAAATTTATTTATGAAAATAATTTAATCATTTCGAGAAATATTCTAACAATTTAAAAAAAAATTGAATACTTTAGTGAAATTTTATTAAAATTATACTCAAAACAATTGAATTTCTCCGAAGAATGTTATTAATAATGAAAATATTTAAATTGTTACCAAGAATTTTTATTAAAAATGTATTAACTTAAATTGTAATAAACAAATTTTATCAAAATATTTTATAACAATTGAATTCTTTCGAAGAATTCTATTCAAATTTTTAAAAATAATTGAATTCTATTAAGAAAATTTATTGAAATTGTATTAAAAATAAATGATTTTCTGCGAAGAATTTTATTAATAATAGAAATAATTGAATTTCTGCGTAGATATTATTAAAATTTTAATTTATAATTATTATTTATCAAAATAATTAAATTTCTGCGAAGAATTTTATTAAAATTTACAAAAATAATTGAATTCCTTAGAAGAATTTTATAACTTATGAAATTGATTCAATTCTTACGCAAAGAACTTTATTACAATTTTATTTAAAGTAATTAAATTCGTACGAAATAATTTATTATTTATGAAAATGAGAATAAAATAATATAACAAAAATGTGAAAATACAAATTCAATTATTTCAAAGAATATTATTTAAATTTCTTAGAGGATTTTAATTAAAATTGTACTAAAAATAATTCAATTTCTCCGAAGAATTTTATTATTAATGAAAATATTTAAATTATTAACAAGAATTTTAATTAAAAATGTATTGAATTTAATTCTAATAAATAAATTTTATCTATTAAATAAACAAAATTTTTGGTAAAATTTAATTCTAATAAATAAATTTTATCAAAATTGAATTGAATTGAATTGAAAATTATTATACAATAATTGAATATTTTAAATTTTGAATCTGAAATTATTCAAAAATTGAAGCTGATTTTTTAGAATAAAATTTTTTAATCATTTTCATAATAATTATGAATTTTTATAAAACAAAATTCGTATACCTGTTAAACCACTAGATTTGGAATGTGTATTGTCTATAATCGAAATACTGAGTGATCCTTCCATAAAGCGATGTTTTCTTGGTCTCAATAATTGTCGTAAATTCTCCATCCATCGTTGAGTATCAGTTTCGGAAGCTCCGGATAAATATAAAAGTGGTTTTTTATCTTTTAGAGTAAAAATGCCAAATGAAAATTGCTTCGTCTTTGATTCAGTTCGATAGATTAGAGAATTGGGCGAAATTTTTATTCGATTATCCTTTTCATTTGGAACAACTGATTTTGCACTGGCAATATTGTAATCCAAAACAATCTCGATGCCTTGATTTCCATTCATTTTCCTCACAGCACACCAATGTCTCTTCCACGCTTTCCATCCTGCTAATGTTCGTTTTTTCACTTTTTGACTCACTCCTTTGTTGCCCGGGAGTTTTACGTCTATAAACCCACATATTTCCGTATCTTCTCCTGTCATAATCTGAAAATTTGCCGATTTGTTTTTTTTTTGCTTAAATAAAAAGATTGGTTTTTGTAAAATTTAACTTAAATAATTAACTAAGCTTTAAAAATTACATATAAAGGAAAAATTAGCTGAAGCAAAAATTAGCTAATTAATAACAATCAAAACAAATGATTTTCGTACCTGGAAAATATAGTCTTGTGTTTGGGTTTAATTGTCCTGTCAATCACTGACACACTAATCAAAACTCGGCATCAGAAACATAACTCGAGACCCTCGAGACTTATTCGTGTAAAATTAGTATTTTTTGGTAAAAATTGTTTACAAGAAGCTTGCTACTAATTGAATGTGTTTTTATTATGATTTAAATACCATAATTAAAAGACAAAAAAGTCAAAATAATATAATCACAAACACTCCTTTCAACCACCCGTCATTGATCTGATTTCAGCTCCACCCTATATAGTTTTCCAAACCCCCTATCATCTACTTTTTGAATTATAATCAATTTTCTCAATATTATTCTCAAAAAAAAATTCCCAGTGTTTATTTACACATTTAATTCTGATTTTAACTCTAAAGCTATAATTTTTTTCCAACTCAATAATTTAATCTCTCAAATCTTTAAATTAATCATTCAAATTGATTCAAAAAGCTCAACAATAACAAAATTTAACTAAGTATTTCAGAACAAGACCACAAGGATCGCTGCAGTCGCAAAAACATATGATCATATACTTTGTTTGGAAATTGCGGAAATTGTTTTGAAGTGTTTTTTATTAAAAAAAAAAACATATTATTTGTTTAAAATTCTGTGACTGTGTGTGACACACGCAGAACATTTTTTTCTTTTTCTTTTTAAAATAAATTTGAATTTAAATATTATAGAGAACGCAGATAGTAAAATAGAAAAATACCGCTTAATGTTTATTGTTGACAATGTCAAAGGAAAATAAAGCCGCTTTAAAGGAAGCACGTGAATTGTTTAAAGAAAATAAATTCACCGACACTATTAAATTATGTAAAAAAATATTAAAAGAAGAAAAGACAAATTATGGAGCTCTTGTATTACTCGCGGCAGCAATGCGAGATACTGAAAATCTCAAATCACAAACTCCTGTACCGCTTAAAAAAGCAACTGAAATTCATCCCGATAATCCTATTGCTTGGCAAGGACTCGTTGCATTTTATGAAAAAGAAGAAGATATTCCTCAAACATGGTTGGAATTAATTCCAGTTTATTGTAAACTTTTGAAAATAGAAAGGTATATTTTCTTTCGTATTTTGAAAATCAATTTTCTGTTTGGATTCCTTTTAAATTAATAATCAAATATTTAATTTAATTTTCCACATTTGACTTGGGTTCAAGTTTCTATTTTTTATTTTAATTTAATTTGTATACAGAATTTATTAATGGAATTTAATTATTCGTTTCAGTAATTCTGGAAAAATTACACATTATTTGAGCAGTTTGGAGAGAATTTTATTGCAATTAAAAGACGATAAAGTTCTGGGCAAAGCGATTTCGGAATTATGTGAAGCACGTGAAATATTTGACGAAGTTGATTTAATAAAGCAAATGGATTTAACTCTCGTATCAATTCTCACGCAATATCCAAAGCTTCCCAATGAGCACGACATTGTTCTTGAAAGTACTTTGAATTCAATAATTATGGACGGAGATGTTTCTAATAAGCACGATTATTACAAGAAATATTTGAGAGTTCTTTACAAACTTGATAAATTGTCTTTGTTATTAATTGAAGCAGCAAAAATGCACGGGATTTTCCCCGAGGACATTTATCCATTGGGTAAAAGGAAAATGCTATTATTCTCACTATTTTATTATTAATATTCATTTTTAATGAATATTAAGATAGATTTTATTATTAGGCAGCAATTAAAAACGCGCGAAACGCAGTATTTAATTTATTATTAAAATTTTTCAAAACAATTCAATTGTATTCGAAAATTTTAATAAAAGTTCTTCGTATGAATTGAATTATTTTTATAAATAATCAAATTCTACGCAGAAATTCAATTATTTTCAATACAACTTTAATTGGATGCCTTATGAAAGAATTTATATATTTTCAAATTTAAAAAATTCAAAAAGGACATTGTCACAAAAAGATTAAGAAACAAAAAACATTGAAGTTTAACTTTTATTGAATTTAATTTTTACAAAATTTTATTGCTTCCTCATAGAGAAATAATTTTATTTTCAATTTACAATATATTCTTGATAATTGTGAAAATTATTTTTATTTTAAGAATGGATTTGCCGTGTTTATTCGGAGCAGAGTATTACAAATGGCCATTGTGATGGAATTGAGATAACTCCTTTTTACGATGCATTATTTGCCCTTCATGCAGAATCCGATCTTGCATTTTTTGCAAAGGCTGTTTATCTCTTTAATATTAAAAGTCTCATTGAATCGAGAACAATTCTCAACTATGTCGTTGCTTCTAAATCAAAATGGATTCACTCTTGGGTTCTATTGAGTGAAATAAATGCAAAACTCTGCTGTTGGGAAGAGGCCGAGAGTGCCGCTGTACATGCTCAGAAAATTTTACAAGATAATAATCACAGTAATCTTCAGAGTAGAGTTCATTTTACATTATTTGAGGCTTTAGTTAAAAGTACCAGTAAACACAAGTGGGAGGAGGCTTTACAAAAGTACAATCAAGTATGAAGCAATTATTTCAATTTTTATGGAACTTTGGAAACAATTTTACAATTTTATTCTTTATTCTAATCCTATTTTTTTTATTTTTTATTACAATTTTATGTTTCAGTTTTTATTCTAATTCTATATTTTATTTTTTTATTTCAGTTGTTATTCTATTTCTACATTTTACATTTCATTTTCTATTCTGATTCTGTATTTTATTTTTTATTCAAATTTTACATTTCAGTTTTCATTCTAATTCTATATTTTATTTTTTATTCCAATTTTGTATTTCAGTTTTCATTCTAATTCTATATTTTATTTTTTATGTTTATTCTAATTTTACATATTTTATTTTTTATTCTAATTCTATATTTTATTTTCTATTCGAATTTTATAGTTTATTCTAATTTATACATGTTTCTTTTTATTTCTAAAACAGTTAGTGCCAGAGAATTCGTTGAAGCGTCAATTACTTATTGCTCGAGCTTATGTGAATTTACATGATTCGAAAGGGCAAATATTACTCGACGAATTGAAAAATAATTTAGAATTGAAAATCGAAGTTGCAGTTTTGAGAGCAATTGATTTAAAAAATCATGGTAATTTGGAAGAGGCCGCCGATGTTGTTGGTTCTGTTCTAGAATCACCTGAGGCATGGTTAACATTGGGTAAAATTCATTGGGAAATGTCGGATTTTGGTCATAGTTTAATGGCATTTTTAAAGGGAATTCACGCCGATCCTTATAATTGGGAATGTTTCGTTTACTTGGGTAATTATTACATTGAGCATGGAAATGATGTTGAACGAGCTAAAAAATGTTATCAAAAGGCATTACTTATTAATCCCGATTCGGAGCAAGCTGGTATTGGTTTGAGTACTGCTTACAGGCTTTTACAGTGCAGCGTGAGTCGATTTATTTATTATATTCTTTTTTTTTTTGTTTACAACTGCATTTTCAATTCTTTTTCTCTCTATTCTTTACAATTGGATTTTCAATTCTTTTTTTCTCTCTATTACAAATGAATTTTCAATTCTTTTTTTCTCTATTCTTTATAACTGAATTTTCAATTCCTTTTTTCTCTTTTCTACAAAACTGAATTTTCAATTCTTTTCTCTCTTTTTTACAACTGAATTGAAAATTGAGAAAAAGAAAAAAAATAATGTAAACGTTTTCAATTCAGTTGTATTCTATGTAAAAATTTCAATTTCAATTCAACGATAAAATATTGTATTTTTAGGACGAAAATTTGGAATTATTGCAAAAATTAACATCACAAGGAAATGGACCGAAATGGGCGTGGCTTCAATTAGGATTACAATTACTGGAACGTAATGATGTTTCTCAATCAATTCAAGCTCTGCGAAGTGCCATCAAGATTGATCCAAGTGACAAGTAAAATTAACTTTTCAACTTTGATAATTTTTCTTTTAAATTCCTCGTATTTTTCTTTTTTTTCTTCTTTTTAATCTACTTTGAATCTTTCTTTTTAATTTAAAATAAAATTATTTTTTTCCAGTCACTCTTGGGAATGTTTGGCAGACGCTTATTTAGCTCGAGGAGCTCACACATGTGCTTTGAGATCTTATCAACGAGCTTTTCAATTGAATCCCGAAACTTTTTATCCTCTTATTCAACTTGCCAATATTAAACTGGTCAGTATTTCATCAGGAAAAAAAAATCTTTTTTTTTTACGAATAATCGAATTTTTATCTTATTTCTTTTTTAAATTGATAGCTTTTTTATCTTTTTCTATTTTTTATAAGTATTTAAAATTTTTTACGAATAATCGTATTCTTTTTTTCAACAATAATTTTAGTTGATTGGTCAGCATGACGAAGCGAAGGAAAATTTCACCAAAGTTTTGAATGAAAATAAAGATAATTTACCAGCACTTAAGGGTTTAGCTGAGACACATTTAAGTATCGCGAAGAATTATATTACGAATCAACAATTTGTGAGGGCAAGAGAGAATATTCAAGAGGCAGTTAATTATTTAGTGGAAGCTGCTATTGTTAGAAGTGATTTTTCTTGTATTTGGAAATTATTCGGTGATGCTTGTTATATTGTTGCAGTGATGCCTGAAAAATTTAGTTATCTAAGTGTTGCACCAAAAGTGATAAATTTAGAAAGTTCCGATGACAGTATAATAATTAAAAGAGAGGAAATATTTTTATTAGCCATAAGGTAATTTCATTTTATAATTTAATTTTCAAAATTAAATTGAGTCATTTATTTTTAATTAATTTCTAGTCATTTCACTTTAATTAATTCCTAATTATTTCACTTTAATTAATTCCTAGTCATTTTATTTTAATTAATTTCTAGTCATTTCATTTTATTTAATTTCAAGTTATTTATTTTTAATGTATTTTAAGTTGTAAATTTTTAATTAATTTTGAGTTAATAGTTTTATTTTTTAATTACAGATGTTATTGTCGTGCTTTACATTTATCGAAAGAATCTCCTCTACTTTGGCACGATTTGGCCCGTTGTTATCTCGCACAATTTTCTTTAAATCCATCAATTGATACGAAAACTGTTGCTAAAAAAAGTCTCGAGGCAGCGAAACAAGCAATTAGACTTTCGCCATCGACTTGGATTCATTGGAATCTTCTCGGAGTGATTTGTATGACTGAGGAGATTAAAAATTACGCACTAGCTCAACATTCTTTTGTCGTTGCAATTGACAAGGAAGCTAATAACGCAGTTTCCTGGGCAAATTTGGGATCATTGTATTTACATTTAGGTAAATTTTATTCACATTTTGCGTTTAAACTTTTAATATGTTTTTTACTTCTTCTTCTTTTAAATCTTCTTAAATTCTTCTTAAATCTTCTTTTAAGATTTTTTTGAATTAAAAATTGGTTTTTTTAAACTAAAAGTTGTTCTTTTAAATAAAAAATATCCTTCTTGTTAAATTTTTTTTACTAAGGAATAACTTTTAACTGAAATGTAATTTTTTCGTCTTCCAGGAGATTTTTATAAAGCCAATGAGGCATTTTCCTGGGCTCAGAGAGCTGATCCTGCGTATGTTAATAGTTGGATAGGCCAAGGAATAATTGCAGAGAAATTAGCGAGGAAGGAAGCAATGGATTTATTTAGACACGCGACACAACTTGGTTATCATAATCAAGGTTCTATTAGTTATTGTCATTGGGTGTTGACAACACTTTTAGATCCTGAAGCGAAAAAAGACGATCTGTATGTTTACAGTATTGAAAATATGCACGCTATTTCGGTCGCATTGGATGAAATTGCTCGTTATTTAAGTGAGTAATCGATGTAGTGATAACTTGTTATTTGAATAGTATTTTCTATATTCAAATTTCAAATTTTAATATTAAAATTGAATATTTCAAAGATAAAGGTAAAATAAATAATTCCTTTCTGTTAAAGATCATTTTCCAAATGATGCGTACGCTCGTAATGCTAATGGTCTTCTTTTGGAGCGAAAAAAACTTTATCGCTCGGCAATTGATCAGTTTTCAGCTTCATTGGAATGCGTTAGCAACGATTCAGAGAAAGATGCTGCGCTCGTGAATTTATCTCGAATAATGATTCAAGTTGGAAATTATATTGACTCCATTGAAGTCAATCAAAAAATTAAGACACCTAATTTCAAGTCGCATTGTCTATTAGCGCTGGCACTGTTCAAAGGTATTTTTAATCTCAGTCCTTGTGTTAATTTTTACTATTTTTATTTTAGTAGTAATTTTCTTTTTAGTATTTTTTTCGTATTTTTAATTTCAGTATTTGTATTAATTTAAATTGTTTTAACTTCAGGTATGTTAATTTTAATTATTGCTGTTTATTTTTTAGCTGAACGTTACGAGGAATCGTATTCCTCTTACGAGGTGGTTCTCCAATGGTTTGCAAAAAGTGGATCTGATAAGGCGAATATTTTGTGTGCGATGGCAGCAATGGCTAGCATGTTCCAAGGAATTGACGATGTGAAAACACTTCTGTTTCAATGTATAGAAATTCAACCACCAATTGTTTCTGGTCTACTCGCCGCTGCTGCATTGGGATTGCTTCATAATGATTTAAATTTAACTGCCTTGGTTTTAAATGAACTTAAAGTTTACGAGGATCATGAAGATTATAGACATCATATCGCTTTGCTTTCTGCCTATTTTTGCCTCATTCAAAATGATATTGTTGACGCAATTCGAGTCGTTTCTAAATTCGTTCATAAACATCCAGGTAATTTATTCTTGTAGTCAAATAATAAAACTAATATTTGAATATTAAAAGGAATATTCGAATAATAAAAATAATATTCGAATATTAAAAGGATCGAATAATAAAAATAATGTTTTATGTCAACAGGTGACGAGAGACTTTGGATCACATTGGCGAGATTTTTGCTTGAAGTTGATACAAGGGCATTTAGAAATTGTGCTCAAAAGGGATTAATTTTAGGCAGAAGGGCCACCTCTCAGCAAACTGCTCAAATTGCATGTCTCAAAGCACTCAGCGATCTCATTGATTCTCGTGGAAGAGATGGAATAAAATCTGTTTTACAAGCAATTCATTCATTCCCGGCGAACGTTGAAAGCTGGTCTATTCTACTTGCTGCTTTATTACCACGGTAAACATTTTAACAGAAAATATTATAATTTAAAAATTCTATTTTATTTCAACAGGGTTGCAAACAAAAATTAAATTTCGTTTTTCCCTAATTTACAGACAGAAAATTGACCTTTTTCCCAAATTTATATTTTTTAAAAATTCAAGGAGAGTTCAATTATTTTAAAAAATGATAATTTTTAATAGCAAAAACTTGATTTGAAACTTTAAAGGTCTCTGTTTACTGTAGCTGATTATTTTCAAAAATTTGAACCGATTTCTTTAAAAAAAAAATTAAATTACTTTTAATCAAATTTCAATTATTTCAAAACTTTGTAATTATTTGTTTATAAAAATTCAATTGTTTTAGAACAACAGAATTGAAATGTTTTAAAATACTAATAAAAAAATAAATACTAAAAATACTAATTAAAATAAGATTTTTCCGAATTTTAATTAAAGGTTTCTGAAACTTTATTTTCAATGTGAATGCTTTAAAAGAATTTCTATTAAAATTCAATGACAAATTTAATTATTTTTAAATCAATTTTAAAAAATTTAATTAATTTAAGTAACACTAAAAAATTGAATTAAAATTTCTCAGAAACCACATTTTTTTCAGAATTTGCAATTAAATTAACTTAAAACTTAAATAATTTTTTAGTATTAATTAATTATTATTAATTTCTTTAAAACAATATTGAATTTATCAAAAAGTTTAAAAGCTTTTAAAATTTTATTATTTTTAATACAATTTTTTGTAAATTTCAATTATCTCGAAAATTTTTAATTATTTGTTTTTAAAAATTCAATTATCTCTAAAAAAATAGAATTGAAATATTTTAAAACTTTATTTTAGGGAATTTGGAATATAACTTTTCTAAACTTTCAAAACAATTTTTGAAACCGATTTTAAAAAAAAAATTGCTAATAAAATTCAGTGACAAATTTAATGATTTTCAATTCAATTTCACAAAATTCAAGTAAATTTAAAAAATTGAATTTAAATGTCTTAGAAACCTAATTTTTTCAGTATTTTAAATAAAATTCTATAAAATTGACACAATTTTTTTTAATAGATAATTGATTAAGTATTATTGATTTCTTTAAAATACATTGAAATTTCCAAAAAATTTTAGTTTAAACATTTTTTAAATTCAAGTATTTTTTATAAAATTTTAAAAAATTTCAATTGTTTCGAAATTTTTTAATTAATTTTTTATAAAAATTCAATTATCTTTAAACAACAGAATTGAAATATTTTAAAAGACTAATTTTAATGAGTTTAAAATAAAATTTTTCAAAATTTAAATTTTTCCGAATTTTAATTTCAAAATTTTGTGAAACTTTAATTATATTTTTTTTAATTTCTAATTATGTTCAGTAACAAATTTAATTATTTTCAATTCAATTTCAGAAAATCTAATAAACTTTGTAATTCTTTGATAAAATGTTTTTAAAAATTCAAGTAACTGTAAAAAATTGAATTAAAATTTCTCAAAAATCTAATTTTTTTCTGAACATGAAATAAATTAGGCTTAAATAAATAATATTAAATAAAACTTTAATAATTAGTTATATTATTAATTTCTTTAAAAAAGATTGAAATTTTCCAAAATTTTAGATACAATCTTTTAAAATTCAATTAATTCTGAAAATTGCAATTGTTATCAAATAAAATCTTTTATAAAAGTTAATTATAATTATTAATTTGGAAAAAGTTATTTTGAAATTTAATTATTTACTGAAATAAAAAAGGTGTTTTAATTAAAAATTCATTGCAATTCAAAAGTTCCTAAATTGCGGAAGAAAATTTAATAGAATTTAATTTTTTATGATTTATCAAAATTGTTTCTGTTTTTAAAAATTTCAAATTCTTTCTTAATTGTTTCAGATGTGCGAGTAAAGATTCAAAACCAAGTGCTCATTGGCTAACAGTATTTTCTTCTGTTATAAGAAAAAGTCTATCAAATGCAAAAAACTCGTCCAAATGGCTCTTGCAAAATGAAGAGAAAGCAAGTTTAGTCGCCGATAATGTTGCAAAAACTTATATTTAGTTATATAAAAGTAAAAAAAAAAATAAAATGTTTTTAAAAAAACACAAAAAAAAAATTGTTAAAATCTATAAATTAAATTTGTATCTTTTTTTTCAAAAATAAACAATAAATTAATTAAAAACGATTTTCTTTATTTACTTTTTAAAGGATTCTTACACATTAGAAATGACTATTTCTTTGAAATATTTTGTTGTATTATTATAATTATTTTATAAATGCGTTTTTAATGCTTTGGAAAACTAAAAAAATTGTTTTCATAATTTTTTGAATTCATTATTCTTTAAAATTTCCCATACTACTCTTAATAAATTAATAATTAAACCTAACGTCTCATTGAAAATTTCGTTTGTTCAAAATCTTGGAAATTTCGTCTATTTGGAAATCTTGATGGGTCATTTTTATTATCAGTTGGTGCTCGTCTGTCTATTGGCTGCAACAATGATTCTACCAATGTCTGAAAAATTAACAATAATTTATATTATTAATTAATAATTAATTAAAAATTAATTAAAATATTATTAATTAATAATTAATTTTAATTTTTTACAGTTATTAATAGTTTTATTTAATTGCACAAAGGAACTCTTACCGTGTCCTGAATGAGATTTCGAATTCTCATTTCATTTATTAGATTCTGAAGATCTTCATTTCCTGGACCATTTTCTTGCAAGGCTTTCTCCAAATTTTCAATCTGTGAGAATTGAGTTTTTAATTAATTGAATCAAAAATGATTTAATTAAATAACAATTTATAATTGTGAAATTACGGAAATAAATTTTTTTTTAAGTCTTTGTAAATAAAATAAACTTACTGTGTCTTTAAAGAATGTTATAGGTCTGGTGGTTCCTGGAATAAATTTATCCGACTGCAACATTTTATTCAAGAAGTGATAGATATCCACAAATCTCTTGCAAGCTGTGAAGGCTTCAATTTTTGTACATCTGATATCAATATGTCGCAATAATGCAAAGTTTGACAAAAATTCAATTGCAAATTCAGGTTTTTCTTGTCGAATTGATAAAAGGGCCATTAAGCAAACACTTTTGCGAGTCGCTTCATATCCTCGTTTTCTTAGGTCCGACCAAATATTCATTGCATATTCGAAGCTTTCTGGTGTATTCTAAAAGAATTAACTTCTGTCAATGATATTCTAATAATTAAAATTAAAAAATTAATTAAAATAAAGAAAAATTTCAATACCTCCTTGTAACATCCGGCTAATAATACTAAAATGGAATTATGTGGATGTACAACGCTTCCAGTATTTTTAGTTCTTATTATATCGTAAGTTTCCCTCATTTCAACGAATTTATTATGTTTAAATAAAAGACAAAGCAAAATTTGGTACGATGTCAATTGATCAAAAAATCCACTCATTGTACTGTCTTTGAACATTTGTAAAGCCACATCTGGCACGTCCAAGAAATAAAATGCTCTCATTACAATGGGACCAAACACATAATTTCCAAATCTAAGCTCATTATTTTGAGCATTATATTTTGTTAGCATTTTCACTAAAAGATTAATATCATCATCATTATTTTCTACAATATGCAACATTGCCTTTAAATCCTCGGTGAATATTAAACTTTTGTTTTCTTCCTTTATAAATTCCATCATTTTTGCACGAAAAGTTTCTGATACTGATTGAAATCGTGAGGCGGTATTTTTTCTCGTGTCTGTGTAACCGTCCATGCCCAATGCACTGGGAGTGTAGATTGATCTTGTGACTAAAAGAAATATTAAAAATTTACATTTCAATAGAAAATTTTTTATTTTCAAATATAAATTTTTAAATAATTTCATAATCAAAATTTTTAAAATTCACTTAAGTATTAAGTACAAAATTAATTATTATTGTTTATATTTTCAAAAAATTTTAATATAATTCTTAGCAAAAATTCAATTATTTTTAAAACAAAATTTTAATAAAATTTCAGAAAAGAATTCAATTATTTTCTAAAATTTTCATAAATCCTTGGAAAAAATTCAATTATTTTTTTAAATTATATCACTCGGAGTGATCGATTTCTTCATGTTTTATAATAAATAAATATAATTAAAGATGACCAAGTAATAAAAATCATTATTTTATATTATAAGAATGTTGTTACTGTAACTTCATCAAAATTATTTTCATCATTTTAATTCAATTATTATTGTCTAGAATTTAAAATTATTTTTTATGAAAATAATTAAATGTTTACATACAATTTTATTAAAATTTTGTTTAAATAATTGAATTTTTTTAGGGAAATTTTAATAAAATAGTAGATATTAACAATAATTGAAAATAGAAATTTCTTTGAAAATAATTGAAATTCTGCAATTATTTGTAATTTCTCCAAAATTGAATTTTTTTAATGTTTCCACCAAAAATTTAAATTAGAAATTTTTTAAATTCTATTATTTTTAAAATTGCTAATTTTATATTAAAAAGGCAGTAAGAATTGTTGCTAGTTAATTTCTAAATCAATAAGTATTATAGTTAATTAGTATGTATACAAAAAATCATTGTGCTAAAAAGTTTTTTTGTTTTTTTATTATAAAAATAAACTAAATTTAAAAAACGTATAAATTAAATTCTAACGTATTATTATAATTAAATTTATACATTTTTATTCAGTTCGATTAGTAAACACCGGTACATTAATGTGTCGGTCAATTCAATTACCGCAAAAGAAAATTACAAAATTCTTTAGCCATTCTTTCTATTATACCTGGTTCTTGAGAAATTTTTGTCAATTAGGGGAAAATACATAGAAAAGAGATTTGAAATACCGGTGACAATAAAATAAAACAATTCTCTTAATACCTTACATATTAAATTAAAGCTATTTTTTAACAATAAATTTTGTTGGAAAATTTATATTTTTAGAGTCGCTATAATCATAAAAAAAGTGAGGTTAAAAAGTTTTTTCTTACCATTGTGTGAAACTGGTGATAGGATATTGTTGTTCAGTAATTTGAAATTACTTCTGAAGAGACACCTTAAGCTTATTGCCATTTTTTAATACTTTATGATTATCTTTTGATTATAGAATGATGAAATAAAATAATTTTTATAATTTCTATAATCACGCGTTTCTTCTTTTTCGATAAAGAGAACGAGAGAACACGTTGGGCAAGTTCCTGGGGTAAATGTTCAATAAAAACAGGAATATGTGGAATTGAAACGGAAATCTAGTTTATCTCAGGGCGGTAAAATAGTGTTCAACAACTCGTTTTTTTATGTCACCTTTGCATTACTATTGTTCCTATTGTTTTTATTTTTGTCACTCTTTTTCCGCTTTTTCTCCCCAGTTCTCAACTTTTGACACAGTCTTTAATTTTTAATTTCTGTGTACTTTTGTTTTGAATAGGATTTAATTTTAATTTTGACATTATCGACAGATAGCGCTGTTCGAATTATGAACTCGACTTAAACTTAATTTTATCCACAGGTTGCAGTTCCTTCTATTTATACGATTTTTACACACGCACACATATGCAATGTTGTAACATAAGAAATTGTTTTAATTTCTCTTTATTAACATTGTTGTGGGCGTGGAAGTTTATTTTACAAAGTGTCAAACTGTTCGAAAATTACCAAAAATAGTGCAAACGTAAGGTAAAGTTGACTTCTATTCTAAACTGTCAAATAAGAAATTTTTGTAAATTTTACAATTTCACAAAAGGAATATATAGTTGTAAACTATATAAGTGAATAGAAAAAAAGGAGTAAATTGCGATAAAATTTGGTGTAAGATTGACATATAAGAAAAATAAAAGTTGTACATTAGTTTTATTAGGTTTTGTTGATTTATTTCGACAGGAGTTTTCTAGAGAACGAGCGGTGACCGATTTACTATTCTCACTCCAAATTAGGGAAATTTCTTACATCAGACTATGCCTGGGTAAGCTTAGCTCCCTATTTTCGGCACTGACTTCATCGCACGATATTTTGTTTAATTTTTTTCTTAATTGCAGAAAAAAATCGCCACCCCGCAAGAAATTTCTTTTTTTAACTCCAAAAATATTTTTTTTGATTATAATTTATTATTCTCCTTGAATTATATTTTCATTTTACTCCTGTTTGTGCATAATTGCTTTTTGTTCTTTAATACTTAGAATTAGGGCTTTACATGATTAATTGATTAATTGAAATCATTAAAATGTAATTCATATTCATAAAAATGTAAGGTTATTTTCATTTTGTAAATAATTACGAGTTACTATATAGAACGCATCTAATTTCAAATCAAGTTTCTCCTATATTTACCACCCACTGTAATTGTGACATTACTTACACCTTCGTGAATGAATGAATAAAGTGAATGTAAACATAACCTTTAATGTACATAAAAATTTAAATCCCCTTCTCTTTAAATTTTTCGAAATTACAGGTGTTTTGCAGTATTGTTTTCAAAAAGCTATTTTCGCTGAGTTCATTTAATAATATTGCTGAAAATAATAAACTTATTTATAATAAGCTTATTTTTTATTTGTAATTTTATTACTTTTTTTATTTAAATGATTAAAATATTTGAAAATAATTTATGTTTATTAATTTTATTTCAGAATTATTGGTATGTCAATGGATCACATGTTTTGTTCCCGTTGTCGAGAGGGTTTCGAGCCTCATGAAAAAATTGTCAATTCCAATGGAGAACTTTGGCATCCTCAATGTTTTGTGTATGTACTTTTTTTATAATTATTTAGTCAACTAAATTCTAATCTAAAAAAATAATTAAAATTAGAACTATCATTAATTATTAATTTTAACCATTCAGGTGTGCCCAGTGTTTTCGTCCATTTCCAGAAGGAATATTTTACGAATTTGAGGGACGTAAATACTGCGAACATGATTTTCACGTTCTCTTTGCTCCTTGTTGCGGCAAATGCGGTAAAAAAAACAAAAATTCTACTTGTAAAAATTAATTAGTTATTAAAATTAATTATTTATTTTCAAATAAATATTATTTATGTAAATCAAAAATTTTTGCTTTATTGCAACTAATTTGTTATTATAATCAATAGTAAAATATTAATTTGAATTAATAAAATTTACCAGGCGAATTTGTCATTGGAAGAGTTATTAAGGCAATGAATGCAAATTGGCATCCAGGATGCTTTCGATGTGAAGAATGTAATGGAGAATTGGCCGATGCTGGATTCATTAAATGTCAGGGAAGAGCTTTGTGTCACTCTTGTAATGCAAAAGTAAAATCAGGTGTTTTGGGAAAACACATCTGTCATCAATGCCAGTGAGGATTTTCTTTTTAATAATCAACAAAAATATTTTCTAAAAAATAATTTGTCGAAAATACGAATTGTAATTTTATTTTAATTTGTCGATAATATTTTTTTTCCAGTGGAGTTATTGACGACAAACCATTACGATTTCGGGGTGAAATGTATCACCCTTATCATTTTAATTGCGCTTCCTGCAGAGTTGAATTAAATTCAGACGCTCGGGAAGTTAGATCAAGACCGGGATATGCAGTTAATGAAATGGTAAAAACAATTTGTTAAATATTATCTACTTAAGAAATATTATTTCTTCTTTTTAACTCTAATGTTAAAATATTACAATTTATAACATGTAACTTAAAAAAATTGTAACTGTAATTTTTATTATTATTTAATATTAATTTCCAATAAATAATTATTATTTCCGAATTTATTATTTATAGAACGAGCTCTATTGCCTAAGATGTCATGATAAAATGGGTGTTCCAATTTGTGGAGCTTGTCGACGACCAATAGAAGAGAGAGTGGTAACAGCCCTCGGGAAACATTGGCACGTAGAGCACTTTGTCTGCGCAAAGTGTGAGAAACCCTTTCTGGGTCATCGTCACTATGAGAAAAAGGGTCTCGCTTATTGCGAAACTCATTATCATCAATTGTTCGGAAATCTCTGCTTTGTATGCAATCAAGTCATCGCAGGCGATGGTAAATACTTTTCAATTTTTCTCTTCTTTTCTCTTTCTTTCTTTCTTTTTTATTTTTAATTTTTTTCTAATTTATATAATAATATAATTAATAAATAATAAGTAATGTAATTAATAAATAATAAGTAATATAATTAATAATTAATACTCTTTCTGATAATTTTCTAAATAATTAAATAAAAATTGAATTTGTTTTCAGTCTTTACTGCCTTGAATAAAGCCTGGTGTGTTCATCATTTTGCCTGTGCCTTCTGCGATCAGAAAATGAATCAAAAAACAAAATTTTTCGAATTCGATTTAAAACCAGCGTGTAAGAAGTGTTACGACAAATTTCCGACTGAATTAAAGAAACGAATGCGTCGTATGCATGAATTAAAGGGTTATTCCCCAAAAACCGTTTGAAATTCTCTATTTCTAAACGGTGGGACTTTTTTTTTAAGAGAAGAAAACATTGAACTGACCATTGTTAACATTACTATTATCATTAACCATTCTATTTTAACTGTTATTTATTCTAGCAGTACTTAACAATTTTATATAAAAAAAACCAACTAAATCTTTAATAATCGAGATTAATTGGATAGAACTTTAGAAACTAAATTTTTACATTATTTTTTAAATATGTATTCTTAAACTTTTAGTATATTTTTATATAGATACTATATTTCTAATATTATAAATGAATTCCGTGGCCTTTATAAATGAGATTTTCTATTTTAAAGTATTTTGATAGAAATTCATTCAAAGAAACAATATTTATAAACAATTTTATGATTGTTTTTTTATGAACATCTTGCCACACGTTTTAATTGTATAAGAAATAATTTATATTGTAAATTAATCAGGGTTGCCACAGGTCAGGGAAATCAGGGAATTCAGGGAAAAGTCAGGGAAAGTGGAATTGGTCAGGGAACTCAGGGATTTTTATTAAAGTACTGGGAAAAATTGAATTTTTGAGAAGTAAAGTTACAAATAATTGAAGAAATTTAATTATCTTTAAAAATAATAAAATCAAAATTATTGTAAAACTGAATTGTAAACAAATGGATTTTGAAAATTCTCAAGAAACTTTTGCCTAAAATCATTAATAAATAATTGAATTCTTTCGAAAAGAATTTTAATAAAATTTTTGTAGACAATAACATTTTTCGTAGAATTTACTTAAAATTGTATTGAAAATAATTGAAATCTTGTAAAGAATTTTAATATTTATGAAAATAATTGAATTCTTTCAACGATTTTTATTACATTTTTTTCTAAATAATTGAAATCCTGTAAAGAATTTTATTATTTATGAAAATAATTGAATTCTTACAGCGAATTTTATTAAAATTTTTGGAAATAATTGAATTTTTCAAAGAATTTACTTAAAATTGTATTGAAAATAATTGAAATCTTGTAAAGAATTTTATTATTTATGAAAATAATTGAATTCTTACAGCGAATTTTATTACATTTTTTTAAATAATTGAATTCTTGCGAAGGATTTTATTAAAATTTTTGGAAATAATTGAATTTTTTAAAGAATTTAATTAAAATTGTATTGAAAATAATTAAAATCCTGTAAAGAATTTTATTTTGTTATTTAGGTATGAAAATAATTGAATTCTTGCAACGATTTTTTTTACATTTTTTTAAATAATTGAAATCCTGTAAAGAGTTTTATTATTTATGAAAATAATTGAATTCTTACAACTTATTTTATTAAATTTTTTTATATAATTGAATTCTTGCGAAGGATTTTATTAAAATTTTTGGAAATAATTGAATTTGTTTTGAAAAGTTTTATAAAAATTTAAATTTTTATAAAACATGAAGATATTAATCACACAATTATTAAAGAAATTCCTAAATAAATGTAATAGAACATTTTTTAAAGTATCTAATTATTTTTAGAGTGAATCAGAATATTTTTAGGGTCAGGGAAAAAAAATTACAATTTCGTCTGAAAATCAGGGAAGAACAAAATTAATTTGTTTGTGGCAACCCTATTAATTTAGTAAGTAGTTGATTTGTACGTGCACTAATATTTAAGGAATAATAAAAAATCGAATAACTAAAACTGAGATGTTTTTATTATCGAGGAAACAAACACGAAAAAGTGTTTAGAAATTTTACTTTACGATAAAGTAAAAATGTAAGATTCAATGTAGAGTTATAAAATAATTTAATATAAAATTGATAATCACCGATTGAATTAAAAAGGGGAAGAAAGTTATGTTTTCATTGGTGGTGGTCTCATTTGTCCCATCATGGGACCAACCATAGGTCCCATCATTGGAGGTGGCATTCCCATCATTGGTGGCATTGGTCCGTGTGGTCCCATCATCATTGGTGGTGGCATCATTGGTGGTCCTTGAGGCACTGGTCCAGGTGGTCCTGGTCTAGGTCCATAATTCACTGGTGGTGGAATTGCCGCACCATTATTACCCGAAAATGGATTTGTCGCAATTTTTCCTGCTTTAAATGCCGCTGTTGTTGCGTCAATAAGCTGTTGGGCCTGATCTTCCATCCACTTTTGATAGAAATATTTCACATTGTCCTTGTGCTTTCTTCCTTGACAGTGAGTTTTTCTCACACTCGGCGAATCGTGAGTGAGATACGTGTCGCAATAATCACAGTAGTACTTTGGCATCTTTGAAATTTGACACAAATGCTGGAAAAATATTATAAAAAGTAATAAATATTATTTTAATGCTGAGAGAATTTTTATGCAGAAATTTAGCTATTAAATAACATAATTAAATTAGATTAAATAGTATTTAGATTAATCGATACTAAATTTTAGAAATAGAATTTATAGAAAAATTATAGCAGACTTCGCACTTGATAATTAATTTTAAAAAAGTAGCAAAAAGTAGCTTTCAAACTAAAAAAAAGTAGCAATCGAAAAATTAAACAATTTTATTAAAATATTTGAAAATAATTGAATTAAGCTGTGACAAATTCTAATTTGAATTTCTTCGATGAATTTTATTATTTACGACTTTATGGAAATAATTGAATTCTTGACAAGAATTTTATTAACATTTTTGAAAACAATAATTAAATTCCTTTGTAGAATTTCTTTCAATTTATTTTAAATAATGGAGTTTCTTTAATAATTTTAATTGAAAATTTTTGCAGTAATTGAATTTTATGAACAATTTCTTTCAAGTTTTTCAAATAATCGTGTATCTTAATAATTGAAACTAAACAATTAAATTATTTCGAATTTTATTAAAATTTTTAGAAAAAAATTAAATTCTTCTCAGAAGTTTATTACAATTTTCTAAAATAATTTAATTCAGTTAAGGAATTTTATTAAAATACAGAAATTATTTGAATTGTTTTGAATAATTTTATTAAAAATTTTAAAAAATTGAATTGTTTTGTAGCATTTATTAAAATTTTAGAAAATAATTGAATGTTTGCAAAGATTTTACTATTTAAAAAAATAATTGAATTGTTTCGAAGGATTTTTTATAATATTTTTAAATAATTGAAATCTTTCGTAAAATTTTATTTAAAAATTTAAAAAATTGAATTTTAGCAAAAAATTTTACTAAATTTATAAAAATAATTGAATTCTTCCGAAGAATGTTATTATTTATGAAAATAATTAAATTCCTGAGAAGAATTTTATTATATTTATAAAAATAATTGAATTAATGTGAAAAATTTTATTGAAATGTTTTAAAAGAATTGAATTTCTGTGAAAAATGTTATTACTTTTGAAAATAATTAAATTCTTTATAAGAATATTATAAACATTGTTTTAAATAATTAACTTTTTCGAAATATAATAATTATTACGAAAATTTTATTTTAAATAATTGAATTCTTGTGGAAAACTTTATTTGTGAAAATACTTGAATTTTTTGATTAATTAACTTAAAATAGTATCAAAAATAATTGAAATTCTTCGATGAGTTTTATTATTTATGAAAGTAATTGAATTATTGTAAAGAATTGTGTAAAAATGTTAAATTGATTTTTTCGAAATTTTCTTGAAAATGCTATTCTAAATTATTTGAATTCATGTGGAAATTTTATTATTTATGAAAATAATTGAATTTTGGATAAATTTTATTGACAGATATTAGATATTCAAAATAATTGAATTTCGAATATTTTTTGAAAATAATTGAATCGTTTTAAAGAATTATTTGATTATAATTTTTGAGAATAGTTTTTTGATTTCTAGTATTAACGAATTTCAAGTAGTGGAAATTCTCAAAAAATACAGAAATAGTAGCTTTTAGTGGTTCAAATCTAAAAAAAAAGTATCTTAATATTAGCATAACGTAAAAAAGTAGTAAATAGTAGGTTTTAGTAGATGAGTGCGAAGCCTGCGTTAACAGATCTATGGAGAGTAACAATAGAGAAACAATGAATGTCGTAAAAACATCAACAATCACATAAATTGTAATTACTCACCCTTATTAACAATAGTTATTTAAAAAAAACCCAGGAGAAATATTTCTCTCCCCACAAAGAATTAATAGAATATTGAACTTTTATTGTAAGTAAATTGTAACAATTCTGTAGAGAACAAAGTGGAACGAGTGGAAGAGAGAGACTGCACTGATTTTAAGGTTAGAATTCGATCTGTCAAAACAAATGCCATGTGAATAGGACTTTAGTTCTGAAGAGGGAATGGAGGGAAAGACATTTATTTCAAAATTAAATACTTTATTACCACATTTTAATTAGTTTTTCCATAGTTTTCATTTACTAGAATACGGTAACTATTAGCAAATACGATAGAATTTGAAAAAAAGAATAAATAGTCAAGTAAAATATGTTTTCAAACGTATAGAAATTTTACTTATTGTTGTCATATTTGCAACAATCTTGTCCGAAACAATCTGATTGGTGGAATTTTGCAGAAACAGGTACACACACCAACCAATCAGAAATGATTTCTCATTTAGACAACATTCCCCGTGGTGATTGCAAAGAACAATTGCGAATGCAGCATAAAAAAAGATAAAAACTTTTCTTGGAAATATTTCTTAATATTTTAATGGATAATTTATTCTTTTCTATAAGAGAGTGAAATTTTAATTCTAAACTTTATAATATCAGTGAAACATTGACAAGCAACGTCAATCTAATATCATTTTGAAAATAGTGGAAAAAAAACAGCGGTAGCAAAAGTGGGGGGCAGAGACCCAGCTACCATATTGGCAACTTGTGACTTTTGGGTGGCTGTTATATTGGCAGAAAAAAAAAGAAAATAATAAAATAACCTTTATTCTATACTCGAAATGATGCCTTGGATTTATACATAATTAACATTTTTCTTTATTCGTTTTACTTTTACGCTTGTAAATTTAATAAACATAAAGATTTTCTCCAATTTTTCAATATTATAAAATGGTAAGTAACCAAAAAGAAGAAAAAAAATCTTTGCTTCATATATAATTGTTAGAAATTCAAGGTGCAATTTTCTTGATATAAATTAATTTTATTTAGAGTTTCTTTGGATTTGGACAGTCCGCTGATATAGAGATTACTCTAGACGGTGGTGATACAAGAAAAACTGCGGACATTAAGTCTGAGGATGGAAAAAAGGAACGGCACTTGCTTTATTACGATGGTGAAACAGTCTCGGGAAAGGTAATATTGAAAAAAAATTGTTTTGCGTAACGTAATTTATATTCTAATTATTGATCTTTTTGTTTGGAAATTTTTTTGTTATAAAAAGTTTTTCTTCACTTGTACTTTGAATCCTTTGTCTTGTCAATAATTTTTTTTGTATATATCGTTTTATAGAAATTGATTTTGAATGAATCTATTTTGTATAAATTGATTTTGAATGAATTTATTTTGTATAAATTGATTTTGAATGATTCTATTTTGTAGAAATTGATTTTCAATGAATCTATTTTGTAGAAATTGATTTTGTATTTTAGATAAACGTCAGCTTGAGAAAAGCTGGAAAATTGGAGCATCAGGGTGTTAAAGTTGAATTTATAGGACAGATTGAAATGTTTTACGATCGTGGTAATCATCATGAATTTACGAGTTTAGTTAAGGAATTAGCGAGACCTGGAGAATTAACTCACAATACAGTTTATACATTTGAATTCGCTAATGTTGAAAAACCTTTTGAAAGTTATACTGGCTCGAATGTTCGACTGAGATATTTTCTTCGAGTCACAATTGTTCGTAGATTAAGTGATATTGTCAAGGAACTTGAACTCGTTGTACATACACTCAGTTCGTATCCGGATATGAATAATCCGATAAAAATGGAAGTGGGAATCGAAGACTGTTTGCATATAGAGTTTGAATACAACAAAAGCAAGTAAGAAAGACGAAATTTTATTTTTTTTTCTTTCGTTTCTAAATAGTATTTTTTGTAATTAATGAATTTTTCTCATAGATATCATTTAAAAGACGTTATTGTGGGAAAAATTTATTTCCTCCTGGTGAGAATAAAAATCAAACACATGGAGATAGCAATTATTAAAAGGGAAAGCACAGGATCTGGTATAACATTTTTATTCCTTTTTTTGAATTTCTTTTTTTTTTATATTTATAAGAGTAGAATTTTTTTATAAAAAAAAAGAAAAAAAAAGAATGGAATTTTCTTATAAACGAGAAAATAATATTTTTTTTATATTTTTTTTTTGTAAGAGAAGATTTCGTTTCTGATTAAGAATTAATTTCACAGGAAATACGACATTTACGGAAAATGAAACAATAGCGAAGTACGAGATAATGGACGGTGCACCGGTAAAAGGTGAATCAATTCCGATAAGAGTATTTTTGGCAGGCTACGATTTAGCTCCGACAATGCGCGAAATCAATAAAAAATTTAGCGTCCGATATTATCTCAACTTAGTTCTGATGGACGAGGAAGATCGTCGCTATTTTAAACAACAGGTATTTTTTATTTTTGTCATTTACAATTTAAGATAGAAATAAAATTAAAAACTATTAAATTCTTTCTAATTTTATTTTCTTTAACAATGTTTGCAATAAATTGACATTAAATTACTTAACTAATAGAAAATTAAATTACAAATAGAAAGGAATAAATTAAATACATTATTTTAGTATCAAATAATTAATTTTTAAATACGCAGGAAATCACGTTATGGAGAAAAGGCGAAAGAAGTAGAAAATCACAAACTGCCTCACCTCACTTGCCATCGCATTTGGTATCGGCCGAAACGGGTTTTCCCCAAGGAAGACCACAAAATGGACCACCAGTTCCTCCCAGTTCCGATCAAATATCACCTGAAACCAGTACAGGATTGGACGATCAACCGGCTCCGATTGAAGGTATGACTCGTGAGGAAGGCGATGGAGAGGGTGAGAAGGATATCAGTCCGGAAAATAATTGATTTCGCAAATATAAATATATAAATATAAATAATAATAATACTAGACTGTAATTCAAAACAAAACAACAAAAAACTGAAGAACTGAAAATATTTTTTTTTTCGCGTAAAAAAAGATATATCAAACGAAGGAAAAAATACGAAAATATATTTTCCTCATTTAAATGTTATTGCACAGCATTTTTCCAGTTTATTGCGTGTACGCGGGGGAAAAAAGAAAAAAGTACATAATTGGGAAAGAAAAAAAGAAAAGGGTGTATATATTTTGACTGTGAACAACTTTAAATAGTAATATTTGAAAAAGGGAAAAAGAAAAATGATTGACGAAAAAAAAGGACTGGATTTTCGAATTGAAAATTAATTTTTAATTTCATTTACAGTCAGTTGGCGTTTCAGTCATATGTAATAGATCTAAGTGACCTCGTCTCTCTAAATAATCTGTAAAGCTTTACACGTTCAATTAAAGACATTAGGTAAACCTCTTGGAAAAATGCATTACAAGGGTTGCTTTTAATATGCAAACAAAAAAACAATTTTTCAAATTTCGATTCAATTTCAAAAACTTTACAAATTTTTAAATTTAAACAAACAAGAATATTATTTTCAGAAACCTTGCAAGTCGATAAAATAATTTCCCAAGTTGTTTACCTAAATCTCTTAAATTTACTTTCCTTTTATTTATATCTAAATATATTTTTATTCTCTCTCTCTCAAAAAAAATAGAGGGCATTTTTTAATTAAAAAAACTTTCTCATTTTTGATGAGAAACAAAAATTACAAAAAAAAACTACCGACTGATAATGCGGCTTATAAAAAAATACAACAAAGCGAAACATTTTACACACATCGATGAAATTTTTTAGAGAAAGTCTATGTCCTACGAATAATGACGAGAAATGCCTATTTTTCAGTTTTTAAAAAACAATACAACTGTATAAATGGTATAAATCAAATAATGAAAAAATACTGTTAGAAAAATGAATTTGAAAAATAATTTTTTAAACACATGTTTTTTAAAAAAGCATGAGAAAAGAAAAAGAAAAGACAAAAAATTAATTGAATTTCCAAAATTTCTAACAGTGATAAGTAAACATATTTATATTACAACGTCCAGATAAATCAGTTATTTTTGGCTGATCTGATAATGAGCTCTATATATATACGTGTATTAATCTATTAATGTAAATTCGAGTACGTAATTAGTTTCATTTTTTTCTTAATTATAATGTAGAAAATTTCTAAGTTTTTAATTTAAATTCTTCAATTTTTAATTTATATTATGAAAAAAAAATCAATAGAAAGATGATTTCTACATTTAAATTGGAGAAAATCAACTTGTTATGTATACCAATTTACGTATACAACATATGTATATATTAAAACAAATTCACTGCGTGTGTGAGTGAAAAATTATACACATAAAAACACCCGCATACAAAGTCTATTAATCATACAAGTTATAAAATACAAATTGAAACGTTCTTTCATCGAAGCACTGACGCACTTTCTTGATAAATTTTATTCAATGATATAACCAGAGATGATTCAGATCTGTTTATATAGAGAGAGATAATTGGAAAGAATTATTTCGATATTTTGTGAAAATAACGTTTAATTTAATTATTTTTGCAACAATTTTTTTTTGTATATTAAAAAAATCTTTTCTTTTTTCTATTTTTCCTAATTTTATTGTTTTTGATTTTTTTCCTATTTTTCATTTTCTTCTATTTTTATTTTTTTCAGTTTTCAGTTTTCACCTATTTTTATTTTCTTCCATTTTTATTTTTTCCTATTTTTCATTTTTACCTATTTTTATTTTTCTCTATTTTTAGGAAGAAAAAAAATATAAAAATAGTAAAAAATAAAAATTATTCCCTATTTTTATTTTTTTCCTATTATTATTTTCTTCTTTTTTTTAATTGTTTCCAAATTTTATTTTCTTTAATTTTTAATTTATTACAATTTTAAAAAATTTTTTAAATTAAAAAAATTATCTATTATCAAAATTATTTCCTTGTTGCAAAAATTTCCTTATTTTTTTTATTATCGATAAAAGAAATTGTTGATATTTTATTTTCTTTCTTTTAGGAGACAAAAATTACAATATTTTTAATTGCAAAAATTTTTATCTGACGATAATTTCAATTTTTTAACTTAATTGAAAATTTTTATTTTATTCAAAATTTAATAGGAAATTGAAATTTACCAATGTTGAAAATTGTTTTGCACTGCATCTAAAAAATGGAATTATAATTGTCAATTTCTCGAAAATTGGATCCAAATTCAATTCGAAAAATCGAATGCAAAAAAAAATTTTTGAAATACGTATCGATATAATTTTTATAAGGTATGCGTTTCACTTAGTTCTGTTGATTTTTTTAATTTACTTACAATTATTTATAATAATTATTATTTTATGTTTAATTTAATAAGATTAATTAATTAATTTAAGTACTTGATTAATGAAATTAATTAAGTACTTTAGTTAATTAAATTAATCCTGATTAAAAATTAAATTATTTTATAATAATATTTATGATTTATTTATGATTATTATTATTTTATGATTTATTTATTATAATTATTATATTATGATTTATTGTAAATATTGTATTATGATTTATTATAATTATTATTTTATGATTTATTATAATGATTAATTTATGATTTATTAGAATTATTATTTTATGATTTATTTACACTTTTAATTTTATGTTTTATTTATAATTTATTTACGATTATTATTTTATGATTTATTTCTAACAATTATTAGTATTTTATGAAATATTTTGATAATAATTCCATAATTTTTAGGTGCAGATCTAAGTAACTGGGGTATTTATGATTTTATTTGCAATGATTACTTTTGGTAAGTTTCAATATCTAATATTAAGGATTTTCTATTTTTTTATAGCAAACATTTTGAGATTATACGGTTATTTATTGTAAACATTTTTTATACTTTGTTATAACAATTCTTGTTTTATTCTAAATAGTATTTATTATAATTTTATATATTTTTTTAAGAGCATATTGGAATATGTATATTTTTTTTTGATAATGACTCTTTGAGATCTTCGATGAAAGAATGAGTATTAGAAAAGGAAAAAGAAATTTATTGAATTTTATAATATGTCCGATATAACTATGTGATTGTAAAATTATCAAAGTCACTGGTCGCGTATAATGTATTGTGCGATATGAGGTATTTCACAATGTTTAGGTTTTTTTGCAAGATGAAATCTTATCTTCTATTATATTCTTTGTTATTTGTTGACCAAAAAAGAAAGAAAAAAAAGAGAAAAATTATGCGATGAAAGAGCGTCAGGGGGGAGGAGGAGGAGTGAATCGTAGTGTATTTTACATGTGAAATACTGTATATACATATAGATATATATATATATATTATGATACGATACTCAAAGACTTGTATATTTCAATCTCCTAATTATATTATACCGAAATGTTCGGTGTCGAAATTTAATTAATTAAAATTTAATATTGTGAATTAACCTCTACATTTTTCCAGATCATTGCTCTATCCTGTTGAATTTAATTTTTTTTAATTACTCTACTTACAATTTTACTCTACTACTAAATTTGTTTTGCAAATAGTTTTATTTAATTTAGCCAAATTGGCAAAATTCTAATTGCCAGTATGTTTTTGCTTTCAAATTTTCGCGCGTATGCAATAAAGGTGTCTTTTCACTAATCTGGACAATTTCTCTTGTAACTCGTCACGTGATTGGTCAATATTTCCAAGAGGAAAAATTGTTACGTGCGGATTTATTTTATTTACGCGCAGGCGTAAAATCCGCGATTTGATTCGATGTTCAATCTTGGTTTAATCCTTTGAAAAGGAAGGCGGAAATATTCAAAATAAAACAAGTTAATTTCCGTTAAAACGGAGGGAAAAACCTCGAAAATAAGAAAGATCAATTAATAATTAATATTAATATCAATTAATTATTAATCCGACTCATTTCACGAGTAAACCCAATACATTTATTATATATTAAAGTCAAACATTACACAAGTCGAAGTTATTCTTAAGGCTATTTTTGGGACTACTCTGAAGTCCGTTACGAAAGAACTCCAAAATAGAACTGAATTCGTGAGGGAGCATTTATCCCTTGGTCCATGGCAGAATCTTTGCGCATGCCCTGTTATAGAGTTTGTAAAGTCTATGAAGTTTTTAGAATCACAACACTAACACTGCACTGCACTAATACACGTATAAACATACTCTATGTATTGAAAACATGTATCACAACAAGTGAACATAACCCTTTTGCATTCACACTAATTACACAATTATTAATTATTTACATCATATCTAGTAACAATAAATCTCTTATACTGCACTCATCATATTTAAATATAAACAACAATTATAACGATAACCAATTTGATAATGTATCATAATATAATATTATTATTATATCAATACGTTACAAACATATATACACATATATATACACATACATACACATATACATACATATATATACATATATATATATATATATATATACATACATATACACACATACATACATACACATACATATGTACATATCCTATACCATAATATTACAACAATCAATCAGATAAAGTTTACTAATAATATCATTTTCAAATAATACATTCATGCTGCACTATTAGCAACAATATAATATTGTTGTTAATTGTTCATAACGTTCATATTATACAATTGATAATTAAGTTTCGTCGCATAATGAAAGTCTATGTGTACGTGACTTTTCGAAGCCATTTCTGTGGTCACAAGTATGGTAAACACATGTTGCATTGTCCTATAGAAAAGGACACTTGAGATATTTTTTATATTCTTTTCGAGGGTTTCTCGGTTTTATGACACTAAAGAAACTAGAGATTACATTTTCTTTCGCTATTCTACTTGATTTATGACAATTCTAAGAAATGTTGATTTTCAGATACATATTCGGAATTTGGGAACTATTAAACCGTGAAGTATTATATTTTACAATAGTCAAACTTTCTTGTTTAGTCTCGTCAATATTTGTCTAAAGTCGTGAGAAAATACTAAAATAATTGAGTTTATTAACGAAATGTTATAATTTCGCGCTTCGATAACTCGTAAATCGATATATCGAAAGTTAACGAGCGAGATGGTAGTCGCTCGTAACACCTTCCCCCTTAAAGAGAATTTTCGCAAGAAAATTATAAAAGAAATTTCGCTTGGGTATTTAAAAATTTTTTTGTTTATTTTAAATTTGTCTATAATAACCTAAAATTTATTTTCTGAAACAATCATAACTACAAAAATTGAGATATAATTATTAGATTGATTCTAACTTGTCTTTTAAGTTCAAGAATAGGAGAGAAGATCTAAAAATGAAAGGAAAATTTTCTTTTTATTTTACTGTAAATATTCCATAATTTTTAAAATAATTTCATACAGAACATCAAAAGAAATAATTTTCTTTTCTACTTTTTCACAGTGAAAATTTTTGAGGGGGTAAGAAAGAAGGGAAAAAAGGTGAAAATTGAAAGACATGGTACGAGCAAGTCCCAGTTGCTCGACACCCCCTTCCCCCTTAAAGAGGATGATGAAAAAAAAGAGTCCTGTATTGCAGGTAGTTAGCCTGCTGACACAGAATCGGTTTTATAAAAATGTCACTGACTTAAGAAAATGTCTTCGTTTATACAAATAGTAAAACGGTCATAAAGAAAGGGCTTTTCTTTTTTAAAAATGAAGTTCAAAACTAAGTTTATTTAGCAACCTCTCTTATAGTTATGGAAGCATTTAAAATAACATTGTAAATTTTCTGATTAGGGACCAATACCCACTTTACGTTAAAATACTTTTCACGATTTCGACAAACACCATCCCCATCCTCACCACCCTTGACCTCTAGGCAACACATGCCATGTTCGCAGGTGGTGGATTCGGGTGAATGTAACTATTAGAAAAATGTTCTTATTTTACAAGGAGA